GAAAATCCCCCTTCAAAAAGGCAAACAGGCTTATATTTGAATCCATTAAAAAACGGGATCTAAAGGGACCCGTTTCAAACTGTGCGGGATATACAGTACCGGACAAAAAGAATCAACTTTTAGTTTTCCGAGAGTATCTCAAAAACTATGAGAGCTAGGACTCTGAAATTTTGTACGTATGTTTTTGAGAGGGTCAGAAATACACCAAAAAATAATATCTTGTCCGCAGACACCATATCAGACGCGCAATTGCTAAAAAAATCACATTTTCGAATTTTTCAGTTTTTCAGAGTTTTCACTTTTTTTGTTTTTTTTTTCAATTTTTTTCGGTTTGCTTGTAATGAGTTTTGTTCCTATAGATGGGTAGAAAACATAACAACAAAACGTCTACTTTGGCGGTCCAAGAAGCGGTCGTTCAGGGCATCCAGATGGGTCTGAAGCGCAAGGATCTGGCTCTTCAATTCAACCTTGCAAAATCATCCATTACTAGGATTTATAAGAGATATCAGGTTAGGGAATCATGTTTGTTTATTGTAAATCATGTTTATTTATTGTAAGTCCTTGTTTCAGCTGCGACAAGGCGTTGTCATTCGAAAATCTCCGGGAAGACCACGGAAAACCAATCATCTCACCGATCGGAATATAGTGATGACCTCGAGAACGAATCCAAGATTGAGCGCTGGGGAAATTTCAGCGATCGTGGATGGTCCAATGACTCCCGTACCTCACGTCAGAACTGTCAGACGTCGACTGGCTCAATCTAGACTGAATGGAAGAAGACCAGCCAAGAAGCCATTCATCAATGCCAAAAACAGAAAAATCCGTGTTGACTGGGCAAAGGCTCATGTTGGTTGAAAAAAAATCTGTACTCTGGTCTGACGAATCCAAGTACAATTTATTCGGAAGTGATGATGTCAAGTAGATCAGACGTCCGGTAGGCACCAGGTACTCACCCCAGTACCAAACGTCAACCATGAAACATGGTGGAGGATCGATCTGTGTTTGGGGATGTTTTTCGGCGTACGGTATGGGACCTCTAGTCCGCATTTCGGGTCTAATGGATAGATTCCAATATGAATCGATCTTGGAGAATCATATGAGACCATTTGCTCGTCAGTCCATCGGTCGGTCGTTCACTTATCAGCAGGACAACGACCCAAAACATACGTCCTTGCATGTTTGGTTCAATCGGCGTCATGTGAACGTTCTGCCTTGGCCAAGCCAAAGTCCCGACTTGAATATTATCGAACCACTCTGGGAGGAGCTGGAGAGACGCCTCAAAGGAAAATTTGCCTCCAACGCGGACCAGAAATTCGTTCAACTTCAAGATGCTTGGTCGCAGATCCCACAGTCGACAATTGATGCTCTGATTGATAGCATGCCTCGACGCTGCCAGGCCGTGATTGACAAGAAAGGATACCCAACCAAGTATTAAACTATTTTAATTTTCTTCCCGCTTTATTTTTAAGTGATTTTTGTTTTTTTGTAATGTTTAATGAAACTGTTGCCTGTTAAGCGAAATTCCATTTTTCTCAATTTTCAGCAATTGCGCGTCTGATATGGTGTCTGCGGACTTGATATTTTTTTTGGTGTATTTCTGAGCCTTTCAAAAACATACATACAAAATTTCAGAGTCCTAGCTCTCATAGTTTTCGAGATACCCTCGTAAAACTAAAAGTTGATTTTTTTTTTGTCCGGTACTGTATCAAGCACATCTGTGGCAAGCTTTTCGTCAAAAAGCCAAGAATTGGAAACCCTCGGTAAAGTTAAAAAAGTGGAAATATATGGATCACAACTTTTGGCTCAACGCAACTTTTTTTCACGTGTGAGCGTTTGTTTGAATCTTTTCATCCTGCCTTGCACACATGAATGTTGCAATCAAACCATTACTAGTGGTAATGAATGGGTAATGTATAATTATAATAAGCGACATGCCAAATGGGTTGACAGTGGAACTCAACCACCAGACGTCCCGAAACGTGAAATTCATGTTAAAAATGGTATGTTGTCGATAATGTGGTCTAATAAGGAGTGGAGTATTGGGAGCTGCCAGATAATAGTGTCACTTTTACGACCGATACCTATTCTTGTCAAGTGACATTTCTCAGAATCCAAGCGGATCTCCATTTGAGAAAAACATAAAGGTGTATTTTGAAAATTAAAATCCACAACCTCATGCGGGAAGGAAGACCCAGGCCGTTCTCGGTAGATATGGTTAGACGAATCCGTCTCATTCACTGTATAGCCCTAACTGTCTACTTTCTGATTACTACCTATCCAGCGATTTCTAATGTCATCTTGATTGAAAAAAATCCCCTGAAAACAGGATATCGAAAAGGGGTTTATTTTGGATTTTGATTCGCTTTCACCGGAGTTCTGAAAGGAAGGCATCTACAATTTAGTGAAGCGTTGGCAGATAGTCATTGATAACAGTGGTCATTACATTCAATTTATACGAAATCGTTTTGACCTGTTTTACTTTGAATGTATATGACGCTAAAAATGACGGGAACTTTCAAACAAACTAAAATTAAAATATAATTCTATGTACTTACAGCACTCCCGGTAGAAATTTCGATGCTTCTTCTACTGTGAACAAACCTTATGTGAGTTTTATCTGACAATGTATTTTTTCCACGGTCATTTTTTTGTCAAAGTATTAAAATAATTTTTTCTCGGCAACAATTTATCAGACTCTCTAGCAGATATGAATCTATTTTTTAAACCAATTTTTCTGCGAATAAAAAAATCTACATAAGTTTTCAGAACGCGGTCAACGACAATGGCAAATCAACGAGCAGAACGCATTCAGCTATGAAGATGGCTAAAAAGAACTCGCCGGCCCCACACCCAAACTTGCCATTGAAGTAAGTCAAGTTCAGTAAAATAGTGAAATGGAATTTGTCAGCACCACCGATTGAGTTGAATTTATTATCAAAAATATCAAACTTGCAGGTCCAATCTAGAAGAATTTGTTTCGAAAACCTATGCCCTCGGGGAATACAACAATCTTGCAAGCCCTGCTTACGCGTATACGTCTGATGTTCATGACGAGCGAGAAGTGGATGTTGGGACGGAATCGCGATATGAGGTTTAAAGACATTTAGCTTCTGAAAAGAATTATACCTGTTTTAGAAACCATATGAAAAACGAAACAGTGGTAAGCGAAAACCTTCAGCTGTGGAAGAAGGAGCAGTTTCTTCTTTCCGTTCAATTACTGAAATAGTTCATGCCGCGGAAACCGCCACACTTGCTAAAGGTGATTCTAAAATCAAACGTTTTAAAATTATTTGTATGTATTCAGAAGTGAGAGGTGTTGAGAATTCAACACGCCTTCAAAACTTGCTTATGGACTCTGTCCTTTCTATCAGAGGGTTTGGTTATCGAAAACTGACAGAACAAGAAATCAGTGAGTTTTTGGTGTCATGAGTTATGTAAACTATAAGCTATTTCAGTTCGGTGGAAGAATCTAATACAACAAGACTCTCGTATACGCGAGCTTCTTGCTGACTCGAAAAGTTCGGCGGAAATTGAAAACATATTCGAACACGATGAATATAAAAATATGTTCACTTCTTCTAAATGGCATGAAATTGCAATCTGTGTTCACCGAGCATTGGTAAGTACTTATTATGAGTCATGAAAAATTGGAATCTCTAATATTTATAGACGAATTCTCTGGACAGAACCAATTCGAGGTCGGAACTTCAATTATTTGTCGGAAATGTGCAAACCGAATGGTGAAGCTGTGGAAAATGTTATTCTATCATCGGGTATCATTATTTTAAATTAATGTTGATAAATAATTTAAACAGTTTGATAAACATATATGTTCATATATGTTCAGCATATCATGACTTCCGAAATATCCGAAGCGTACCAGAACTTTCGGAAGGGAACTCCAACCAGAATGTTCCGAGTGAAAATTTTTCGGAAGAAGTTTTAACCTGTTAAATTTTTGGTTATATGCAGTTGATTGTAAAATTGGAATCACATATTTGCATTCCAAAATGTACACGCGATAAGTAACAATGACTTACTGACTATGCGCACGCAAAAGGCTTATCAAAAATCAGTTTGAAAAAGTTTTTTTCTTTCATAGTTAGAGATCTGAAATCCAAACTTCGTATTAATGGGTAATATTTAAAAATGTATTTTTTCGTTAAACAAGCCGTGTTTATATCAAGCGGTGCGGAAAGTAATATATATTTTTGAACATAATTTCAAAAAAAGTTTATTCATCCGGAAAAGCTTTTCAGTAAGCTAACATTTTAGTATATGTTCAAAACCTTCTGCGTTGCACAAAAAAGACATCTAGGTACGATTTTAGCTCCGATCTGCTATCGAAGCGCTTACCCTATTAACCATTCTAAAGCAAGCGGAACAAATAAAATTCTGTTAGGGCGAGGTCTGGACTAAATGATGGATGACCGAGTATTTTGATACATAGACGCTGCATTATTGGTGATACGCCAAAGCCGTGTGCAAGTGCGCATTATGGTAAAGCAGAACAAATGTGCCCGCTTCTGGGTGCAAAGTACGACACTCATTGAATACTTTCTGCAGTTGGCGACAGTACGTGTCTGTAGAAACGGTCGCACACATGGGAGAAAGCTCTTCATAGATCACACGTGATAATACCACCAATTGCTCCCTTTTTCACAATTTTCTCATTTGTGATTGATTTTTGGAGTTTGGCCTACCTTGACCGACTGACGCTTTCTGTTCTTTTTCAACATACAAACACCCCTTTTCGTTTCCTGGGCTAAACCCTGAAAAATTGTCTTTGAATAAAATATTCCGAAATTCCTAAAAGTTCAATTCCGCGCATTTAACTCCGCATTAGAAACTTCTGCATATGTCATTCTACCGGGAAAGATGCAAATGTGTGTTTTTCTTATTGTGAGGTTCTCTCATCAGTGTCTTGCTCATCGAAGATCCGTCTGTGATTTCTCTCCTATTTTTTAGTATTGAAAAATGATGTTTCCAGCAAATAAGTAATATGATTTCGGTTCAGGAGCATTTACCCAAATCCCGCCTTCTTTATGAAAATAAAATATTTAAAAGCATGTACTTTTTTTCCCTCTCATTTCCCTAACAGCTTCACGAACCCTCTCTTTTCCGCGTTTTCTCTAAGTTATTGTTAACACAAGTTACCTTGACAACCGCAGCTAGCGGGCAACAACCCATTGATTACTCAAAGCCCCTCCGCATTTGCCTCAATTCAAAACTTCTTTCATTCACTCAACTATATATATTCACTTCTCTTCTCATCGCTTTGACTGATTTAACGATGGCGGACCAAGAGCTTCGCAGACGTCGTGTTGGACAAGAAGCAACGGAAATCCGGAAGAAACATCGAGCCGAGCGCATCTACAAAATCGAAAAGAAAACAGAGCCTAGTGAGTTCTCAAATTTCTGGTAAAAAAATTCAAGAAGACATATTCTAATTTCAGTGAGCTGGACTTGCTGGGCACTCATCGTTTTCTCATTCATCGGAATCATCTTGTTTCTGGTGAGAATAATATAGAAATAGGTCTGTAAGACATTCCCGCGTTTTCAGATCGAAGCTTTCAGCGGATTCAAGCGCATCAAAAAATTGATCTAGACAACATACCAGTACCTTTGTTATAATTCATTGCGGAAACATAACATTTGATAAAAATTAATGGTGATTATATTTTAAATGAATTCTGACATTACTTGTTTCTAACCTACATTCTATGCAAAAAGTATTGTGGTGAATTTTTCTCTACTGAGAAACAATGATTTCACACATGGCATCTGTGTATTTTTCAAATGCTGTTAACCAATTCGACTGGATTTGCTGAAAATAGAGAATAACAGTAAACGTTAATCATTCGTTGACACTTACGTACATGAATGCTGACAAACCAAACAAGAATGTGAAAACTCGCTGAAAGAAGAAAGCTGAGCAAGCCCGAGGGAGGCAATTGATGGGCCAAAAGAAGAATAAGGAAAAAAAGACAAAAATAAGAGAAAGAAGGAAGACGAGAAAAGTCTTGTTCCATTTGGCAACTATGAGTTTGCCCCAAAGAAATTGTTGTTGTACAGCAAAAGCGTTGCGTCCGCTGCGGTCCGAGTGAAGCATCTCCGCGTGGAAAACTTGCAACGCGTCTAAATACACAACCTAGAATAGAGGGAGCTCTAAGAATGCGTTGGCACTCAGAATAGTAGGCTTTTATTGGAGACTTAGGGTAACAAGGGGGAGGCTAATGCTACTGGCAAGATATTTACTGAAGTGGTTAGGCCCCTGCTTCTTTTTCTCTCTACCCCCACCCTTCCCACCCTTGCTCAAAGTTGATGCTCCTCGTCACTACTACTGCTGCTCCTTTTGCATCATTCCTCGTCTTCTCCATTTTTCTTCTTTTTATCCTTCTTCTCATTTTTCTTGATAGACCCGTTTTTTATCCGGAATTTTTACCACATTTCTAGAAGCACTTGCCTAGAAATCATTGTTGGTCGAAATAATGCCATATGTTCCTGTTTGTTCAGGACTGTCTGAATACGAACACTGAGAATGGTCTTCCACAAAATTGTTACGTGCATATTGAATCTGATCTGAATATATTTGTGAATGATATAATTCTGTTATCAGTGGTCTTATTCCTTCAGTGGGGACAGAAAGCCTTAAGAATGTCACGGAAGTATAAATTAAATTTAATGCAAAACTTTTGTTTTCACCTGTAATGCTATACGCCTGAAAAGTTTTTTCCAATGTATTCGATGTTTTATAATGTGAGAGAAAATGTATTTTGTTTACTAGGGATATTAACTCTTTCAAAAAAAGTTCAATACGTGTACAAAAAAATAGTTTTGTAGAAAAATACAAATATGATAGCGATCAAAAAGAATAAACGACTTATTTGCAATATAGATTCCACAAATGATGTTCCCTTGGTGATCTTTTCGATTCTTATATTTTAACATTCCGCTGTTGAGCTGTAACACTTCTGAGATCCCTGAAGCCATCTGCATTGTTCCATTGTCGTTGGCTATTTTTTCACCTTCTTTCTCATCCAACAAGCCGGACGTAATTTGAATTAGGTCCTATGGGACCGCCTCGTCACGATAACTTATTTAAAGTCCTATCTCCGCTCATGCTTTTGCTTATCCGCATGTGTGAAAAGAAGAAAAAGAAGAGCATCCCCTCTCGAGTCGTTTCCATTTTCTCTTTCTATTTCAGAAGATCGATATCTATGCGTGTTTTGTTTCGGTTGTCCTGGTTTTCATTTTGTTTTTGAGCATCTCATTTGTTCTGAGTGGCTGGCTATGTGCTTCGGAGTGGCGTGCCAATGGTGTGTATTTTCATGACATTCTTTTTTTTCACATGCCTTCTGTTTTATTTATGCGAATATAGCATTTCGTCGTTTTGAGAGTTGCTTGCCAGAAAAGTCAAACCAAATTTTCACCCTGCTATTTAGATCAAATGTCAGGTTGGCCATGTTTTTCAATATTGTGTTCATACAATTCACTTTTCTTTTGTGACCATAACAGCATAGTTTTTTTTCTCCCATATTGCATATTTTGAAGGCCTGGCAAAAAATGAAGCTGCTCGGCAGCCCCAAAAAAATGCCGAAACCCGTGGTTCAGTTCTTTCCGGTTCAAAAGTTTGAAGCAAAAAATTGAGAGCCTGCGAGAATTTTTTCGACCAAAGGTCCAGGGCGTAAACCATTGGTGCATCGCAATTCTCACAACCATGTATCTTTGTTTGGAACTAGAATTCGTAACCTTTATCTGTATATCATCGTATGTTAGTTTTTTTCTGATGTCATTTTTACGAAATTAAACGTCCGTAACTTTTTCTTGTGTTTGTTGAATAATTTTAAACAGTTTTCAGAAAGTAGTTAGATGTGCTCCGAAGTGCGCGGGCTAGCCTGACATGCGTGGAATATCCGCGCACGATGCGGCCTCGGACGCCTTACACAAAAGAACCGCTACAATACAAGCGACGTCCTCAAAAGCCTATTCCTGCTATTCATCACTCGCCATTTCGCATACACTCCGAAGATATTTTCTACGGCCAGCCCGAAGCAAACCCATTGTTACCACCGCTTCCGCACATTTTCAGTCATCTCAAATCGCTTTTGCGAAAAGTTTACAGAACCAAATGGAAACGTTCCGACTACTCAAAATTCCTATTCCTATCTGATATTACCTATAAAATATGGTATAGGCTGTTTTTCATTGTGCCTTCGCTTTTATTCAATTCTAAAAAAATTAGTTACTCCAAACGGTGCTGGACCAATGATCTTTATCGAAGTTTCACTCACGTTCGTTCATCGTTTGAGTCTGAGAAAAATCAGTTTTTTACAGAGTATTTTCATAATACATCTATTTATGTTATTCAACCAAGCTTCCTCAACCTCTTATATTACAAAACAGATGTCACCTCTATGCAAAACATTTGGGTTTTTTACACAGGTTGGAACTTATCGTTAATTTTATGTATTATATAACAGTTTTTCAGCATAATGACACAGTTACTGATCGCTGCTCGGTGTGGTCAGACGAGATAATACCTGAAATATGTTCAGCCGGCACCCAATCACGAATTCGAATTTTGAAGCATGTTTTCCTGTTTCCCGAATTACAACCATTGTCGTTGTTTGAGGTAATTTGCTCCGTTTTATCATTAGCAGCGACTGTGATTCTAATTTTCCAGATGTTTTCTGTCGGTTTGAGAAACACCGATATGTGGCAGTTGAACTATGGCGAAAAGGGTAGTGATTGCATTTCAGGGAGCATCAATCGTTGTACATCATGTTTTCGAAGAGTCTCAGGTTTGTGAATGTGGAAAACGTTGCAGAGAGAATGACTGAATTACAAATAACGACGAATTTTGCTTCAGGCACTCTTCGTAAGCTTAATGAAGCCTATCGGTCTTTCGACACAACTCTTTCGCGTTTCGACTGCCTTCCAGCGGTAGACACAGCTTCTGCAACCAGACCTTTTTCGCCCAATGCAACTTGTGATAATTGTAAAGTTAGTGATCAGATACAAAATTAATTCTACACCAATCAAGACAAAAAAAAATCACCATAACTATTCCATTCAGATATGGTATCGTAGATGGCTACTAGTTCAATCTCTCCAAATTTGGCAACGCCCGTCGTGTATCAATTGGTGCTATTATACCCAGTTAGCATGTCCCCATCTGGCCCCTGCAAAATTGTGGGACTACGCAGGACACCCTTCTTTTCAGTGCAGAGGTGAATAACAGGATAAGAAATTCTGTGCGTTGATAGTCATAGTTCCTATATTTGAGCTGATGGGTTTTTGCCTAAACTAGTAACACACGCGCACTTTTCACATTCTTCTACACTTTGTGACTTTACTCAATTTCCTGAGTTTTCCGCTTTTTCGTTTATTCCTCGGGAAGCACGTTTTGGTCTACTTAAAAATGCATTTCTTGCCGAAAGGAAATTTTCGAATCGCAAACAGCGAGAGTAATAAAAGCAAAAAACCATGAAGTACATCAATGATTTCAGATATGGACATTGACAGTTGGAGGCACGAGTGTGACTGTATTCACCCATGTGATGTGAGAGGTATCGTAGGTCCAGGAATCGCTATGGGAAATGCACCATCTGTTCAACACGATTTTTTTGCAGCACAAGTCAGTAAATGTATTGGAAAATATGCGTAACCATTTTTTGCAGATACACTGTGAGACGCGAAAAAAAGAGTGCCATAAACGATTCAAACAAATTCGGAAACTCAAGCGAAGCGAAAGTCTTGATTCGAAAAGTTCAAATGTTTTTATTGGACCAGTCCTGTTTTTATTGTTGTTCCTTCGATTCATTTTGTTGTTATAGTAGATTACATTGTAATGGTTCTTGTTTACAAAAATTTAGCAAGCATTAATTTCTCTGAAACTGCATTATCAATTGTGAGTGTGAAATTCCCCATGTGTCAAAACAAGCGAAAAATTCGGCTGATCCAACACTATTTCTTTCATAATTTTCATTTCATCAAATTGTTTTTTCCTGTTTTAATAGCATACCGATTTTCTCTTTACACTTATATGTTTTTTTTTTGAATTCGTATGTCTAGTACTTTCTGCGAAAAATGAATAAACAAAAGCTTTTCATGATCCATGGCTACTAAGAACAGAGTATATCATAAGTTTTATCATTAACTATTTAGATCCGCAGAAAAGTTTTATTAGGTTGGCTAAAAAATAATGGTTGTTTTTATGATCAATTGAATTTTTCATAAAAAAGGAAGTAGAGAAGATTAACTCAAAAGCTATTTGCCATAATTATCAACTACTTGTAGCCAACATCCGCGCAAAGAATGGGGTCCGCTGTGAAAGAACCCCACTGGCTGCGACCCAAAGTAGGCGACCACCCATTTTTCGGTCTCAACGCGGCTTTTGAAGTGTTTCTCGGCTAATGAGGGTCGCATTGATATTAATTACTAGAAATCTGAAAGTGCCAAATCATTGGCGGATGAGGGAGAACTTCCCAGCCCATTTCCTCGATTTTCTGCTGAGTGACTTTTGACACATGCGGCCGAGCATTATCATGAAGGAATTTTGTCTTTGGTGTATTCACACCTTGACGTCTCAACGCTTGCTGCATTTAATCCAATTATCATTGATAGAGTTCAATAGTGGCTGTTAGACCTTTTTCCAGAACATCAAAACATACAAGACCCTTGCTCTTCCACCATACACATAGCATTACTTTCTTTCCGTATATCTCTCATTTCGAGTTGTTTTGGCCGGTTCTCCGAGGGACAACCGTTGTCTATTCTGAGTAGTATTATCGTACTGAATCACTTTATCATCCGACATAACATAAGAATTGAGAAAGGCGATATTCTTCGAGAAAAGAAGGATAATTCTGATAAGTGCGAGGAGGGAGTGGTTGTAGGAAAAAACTTCCGCAACTGTTCGACTTTCCAATTTGTGCAAATGGTTTTCAATGGTACCATTAGTACAAGAAAACGGTCCTAAAAGACTACGAGTCGTTTGACAAGGATCCGACTCGTTTAAGTCTCTCAGCAGTTCACTGTCAATGATTTTTAGTCGAACGGTGTGTTCACGGTTTTCCAAGCTTTCATCGTCATTATGAAAACGTTCAAACTAGCGTACGAATCAATGTTTCATAGAAAAGCTTGTTTGAATACTTTTGAGAGAGAACTAAGAGCTTGCGCGGCATTTTTGACCAACTTAAATTTGTACCTTCCTGCGCATTTTTTGGAACGACGTTTTCTAAACGGATTTCCCAATTGAAAAAACAGAATGGCAAACTGAGACTATATATCAAACGATGCGCAAAAAAACGCTCTTTCGAATGAAAAAAAAGGGGAGCAAAAATGTTCTCCGGATAGAGAAATACGTTCCGACAAACACGCCACTCATTATTTTTTAGCCAACCTAATAAAAAAGATATGAAAAAAAAAACGGTTTTGTTTCAAATAAGTCTCGACACACAGGAATGACATTGAATCTACTCACACCAAAACAATTAAATAAATGTAACATTAGACCGTGAAAATGTTAACGGCGGTGCATGTATTATGTAGGACTGACCGTTGATAAAGTACCGGTGTTGGCAGATAGTCAAGGTTGAAGACTTATTGACGCTAATTGCTTGAGTTTGGTTATTGCATCAAGAGCTGCTCTCTCGTCGGCTTCTTCAGTTGTATCTCCGGTGCCGTGGCCAACCTAAACTTGATGAAGAATATGGTTGCAAATATTTGAGTGAATATTCAAGTGGAGAAAAATACATATTATTTTTTTAACTAACCAAAGGAGTATCCAACCCCAGAGACACTATTGTGAATTCTTGATTCATTTCTGTTTGAGGGAACGCTGTATAATGAACACTAAATTTGAAACATTGCGAAAGTCGATCCAATTGATGGTGAGCAGTGTCAAAAGCTGAAAATTGATGTTTACTTTTTCAAAAACTTTCGTAACTCATGTTATCTGAAACATGTGTGACTATATATTATCTTCTGAATTTTAGGATAAATATTTCAAGAACACTAATATTTCGCATTATGAGAAAGCAGCACCCATTAAAAATTAGAAATTTCCATTGATGAATTCTATGACTTTTCCACAAAAAAAAAGCTGTTACTGAATTAATGAGCTAGTCTGAAGCAATTTGGTATAGTCAACACAACAGTCTTTCCCAATTTCAATGTGAGTTTTTTTTTAAATAAATAATTAGCTTATTGGAAAGTTGAACTCACGATCTGCTGAGAAACCTTGTTTCGCGGAATCGAGAAACAGTTCTGCTTTGTCCGACAATTCCTGCATTTGATCCGCTGTTAAAACTCGACGGTGTTCCTTTGACCTTTTCAGTTTTCGGAATTTTCCTTCGACAATCGTGTCCTTTTTGAGAGATTGCACAATTGAGTTAGGATAGTTTTGATCACCTAGAAAATGTAATCATGGTGATTGAACGAAAAAAAAAAATTATCTACAGACCTGGAGGTGGGCATGCATAAACTTCAGAATTGAAAGTGACTCGTCGTTTTTCGGTGTCGGGCGAACCATCAGATTTTTCCTCTAGCCCTGTTTCTATGGATATTTTTGTTTGGATGTCGGATGGTGTAGGGAAACTGAAAATTGTTGCACTTTAGTTATTAATACACGTAACTTTAATGTATCGTTAGATATTCCTTTTTTGGCAACTCTAATATTGTACATTTTTTGCACTCTCAAAAAAAAAAAGCTAAAACTAACTAGGGAACTATCTGAACATGATTCCAAGTCACAGTTCGTGACCTATATTTTCTTTTCTGGTTCTGAATACGTTTTTTTGTTTTTTGCGAAACGGCGGTAAGCTTCGAGAAAATTAGGTCGAATGAAAATTAGGTAAAACATTTTAGTACTGACAGGGGAAGTACCCGAAGTGAAATTTCGCTTTTTCTTAGATGTTGGTGGCAAAAAATGTCTCGTCGCTGGACTAGCACAAAACAAAAAATATAAGGTGCCCATAGGCAGGTTGAGCAGAATGGCAAAACTTTTTGCGATTTTTCCGAAAAAGTGGGTCAAGTCCATTCAAAAAATCATAACTTTGTACAGATTGAAGATAAAACAATATACTAAACTGTATTTTGTAGCACGGATTACAGGCTACAAAAAACCCAATTACACCTTCATTCAATCTCTGCAAAGAATTTTACTATGATAGGAAATGTCGGAATGGTCCGATCGTATGAAATCAAAAAAGGTCGATTTTCGAAAAAACACCTTTGGGGGACCATGTCTATCCGATTCCTTTTTTGTCATAATGCACAACTGTAGTCTCAAATATATAGCTCACCGTCCATTTAAGAGAGATTTTTGAAAAAATAATATTTTTAAACTCAATTCCATGTACCCTATAAATGGTATTTTTTAAACGCATTTTTCCATATACAACATAAACGCTCTGAGAGTAAAAGATTCAGTTGGTTTAGTTATTTTTTGACAGAAAATGATCAAACCGTGATCAAGAAGTCAAAATTTTCGGAAAAAAATTCACATGTTCAAAAATACCATGTATAGGGGTACATGGAATTGACTTTAAAAATATTTTTTTTCGAAAATCTCTCTTAAATGAACGGTGAGCTATATATTTGAGACTACAGTTGTGCATTATAAAAGGAATATAAAATTATAAAATAATTATAAATTATAAAATAATTATAAAATAATATAATTATAAAAGGAATCGGATAGACATGGTCTCCCAAAGGTGTTTTTTCGAAAATCGAAATTTTTTGATTTCATACGATCGGACCATTCGGACATTTCCTATCATAGTAAAATTCTTTGCAGAGAAAGAATAAAGGTATATATAAGTTTTTTGTAGCCTGTAATCCGTGCTACAAAATGCATTTTAGTATGTTGTTTTATCTTCAATCTGTACAAAGTTATGATTTTTTGAATGGACTTGACCACTTTTTCGGAAAAACCCAAAAAGTTTTGCCATTCTGCTCAACCTGCCTATGGGCACCTTATATTATCCGTTTTGTGCTAGTCCAGCGACGGGACATTTTTTGCCACCAACATCTAAGAGAAAGCGAAATTTCACTTCGGGTACTTCCCCTGTGAAACCTATTGATATTGCATTGAAAATTGACGCGAGACACATGATATATTTTTTCAAATTCCAGCTCCTAAGTGCCAACAGTTGTGGGAATACTTTCATGCTCTTTGGGGAGGATTACGTGTCAGTATTTTTTAATGGTGAACGGTCAAAAGCCGTTGGTGATTTTTTCACAATGAACCCAATTTTCCAACTGATTAAAGTGTATCAACCAACACTTACCTTGGAATTTCTTCCACACCTTTCGGACTTGGTGGACCTGTCCAATGCGTAATTTGTGTGTGAGAATAGTCGGCATCAGGGTTCTTTTTTAATAGACTTTTTCCAGGTGGAGGCAACGGTTTCACAAATCCTATCAAGTCCAACATCTCCTCCGCCGCAGCCCGTTTAGCCAATCGCTTGTTCGGTCCTTTACCTTCACAAACAATCTCACCATACTTTGCCTGTATGACAAACTCTTTATACTTGCTGACTCCATTCTCAGACAAAAGTTCAAATGTAGGGTGGTGACGGCTTTTGGCTTGTGTCACTTGAATCAATCTAGACACTGGGTTGATTTGATGCCCGTAATGCGGATCCATTTTCTTGTCTTTCACGATTGTTTTCCGTTTTGGTTCACGATGAATAGAGGCAAGTTTCTTCTGAGTCCTACACACGTTAGTAGCAACTGATACTGGGTTTGTTTGTGGAGCTGAAATGAGACAATTTAAATGTATCGATCCATAATCATCAGCTTACAAAGGTGTTCCGCGTTCTTAAGAAGTTGTGTGCATGCTTCTTGTTGTGCAACTTTTTTCTTTTTTCCTTTTCCTATTGCTTCAGCTTTAACTTCCTTGTTGCTAGAAACGAATGCACATCGCACAACATAGACGCGGTCATGTGGTGGTCCTTCTTCTTTAAGTGTTTCGAATACCACATTTAGTTTTAATAAGTGAGCTTTCTCATGAATGTCGCTTATCACCGACTTTTGTCTGTGAAGTGGAATGTTTTCAGGTGTAGTTGACGCCGCAGAGCTTGAATTGTTATTCACGTGTAGTTGGTGTTCTCGAAGCGTCGGTCCGAGAATCGCGAGAGCTTTTGCCGCGCGTCCTGTTTAGCTAATGGAAACGTTTCTGCTACGCCTGTGGCAAGTGGTTTTCCATCAACGTACACAATAACCTGAATTTTCAAAATCTTCAGAGAATCTGAGAAAAAAAAGTTTCCATTACTTTTCAAAAATTTTAATTGTTCACAATAACAATTGAAAATTATACGGTTCTTTCTGAGCTAGATAATTTGTAAGAATGCTTGAAAAATAATACAGTCAATATCTTAATGGGCGTTTTAGTATTTTATATCTTTGTTCATACCTTCTCACAGTACAAAAAAACAAAATAAAAAATTACCGCTTGCAATGTTGGTCCTAGCGGTCTATTGGGGTCCAGTGGCATTAATGGAAACTGTGGCTGGTACATAGAGTACTCGTGTTCTGGTAGAAGAATGTGTTCAGGAACAATGCACTGAGGGTCCGGAAACACAGGCGGGTTGCAAGAAACATAATTGGGCGATACATAACTTAACGTTCGACATACATTCTGAAGCACACGATGTGGTTTGGACATTTCTGAAACAGATTGCAAAAATGGTTAGATATAATTGAAATCGATTCTTACCGTTCAATCTGCGTCGAGCATTTCTTTCTGATGGCTGTGGAAGGCTGGTTTTCTCCAATGCAGTTTCTGCAGCTGCTTGTTGAGCTCGTTTGATAGACGTACCACTTCCTGGGAAGAAATTCGATGAAAAAATTGGATATCTGACGCTTCTCACCTTCGAACGTTTCCTCGTTGTTCAATACTAATCTAACAGTGAATAACTTTTTATGAGCAGGTCCACTTTCGTCTTGTAGATCATAGAAGTGACGCAATTTGTTGAATCTTGCGATCTAAATATAATTTCTATTATATTTAGAACGAAAATCTACCTACCTCGGCAACACGACACATCGCCGATTTGTTTTTATTTTTACTTGTCGTGTAATCATAAAAATTTGTCGGAGAGTCCGCTTCAAATTTGTGCTGGCCACACCAGTGTTGTGGATGGACTTTTGTGGATAACTGTAAAATTTGGATTGATGATATGAAAATTACGATTTTTAACATGGAAACATTTTCTCGACAGAACTATCAATAGAGATGTCTAGAAATCATAATATAGACTTTGACAAAACCCTTGCACCAATTTTTTGTTGTTATTGCACTATTTCTAAAAAAATACGTTTAAAATGAGTTACCTTGTCATTTGGACTAGCCAGAGGGGTTCCATCGTTGCTTTCTAATTTTGCACTCATTGTACTCTCCTCTAGCCGTATTTCATTCATTTTTCGGAGGAAGAGATGGTCATATACTGCCTTCAGCAATTGGAAAATCAATACATTACGATGCAAAGAGACCCTCAATGACAGCACACTGCGCTGTGTCTTTTTCTCTTCGTTACACCTTGTCTCTAAGTCCTCCGCAACAGCGCGCGTTTGTCTCGCTCGTTGGCCAACGTGGTTAAAAAAACGTCGTCTTCTCTTGCGCCGTTCTCTTTTGCGCGGGCACACACATTCTTACGCAAATTGTTCTTTGTTCTGCCCATATTTAGAATTCTGCTGTGTATCATATTCATTGTACTATTTTTAAAATTATTTTTAGAACAAAATGGAACTAACGCTCATTGCTCGTGTTAGAGATGGACTCATTTTGGCGACATCGATTGAAGGAAACAGTGATCAAAGTGTGAGTTTTTTTTTTTTGAGACTGGTGGAAGCTTTGAAAAAAGCTGATTCGTGAGCATGCGGTTATTTAGAGAGATGGGAATAATCTTCTTTCGATGATTTCTATTTTGAAATCTCTTTCTGATCGTAAATTCTACACAAAAAAAATTTTCCCTTTGTCGGTACCCACTCCCAGACACCATCTCACTTATTGATTTTTCGTTATTCTTTTCAGGGAGACTCGAGTATGGTGAAGTATTCGAATCAAGCCAAGATGCTCTTCAAAAAATTACATGGAGCTCCGGCACAACAAACTGTGGAAAGTGGACCATACGTTTTCCAGTAAGTTCTACTTTTTCTCAACACGACTTCTTCGATTTTCCAGCTATGTCATCATTCAAAACATTTGCGCATTGGTTTTGTGTGAGCGTAACTTTCCACGCAAAGCTGCATTTCAGTATTTGAACGATATCGGTCAAGAGTTTTTGAATTCCTACAGCTCAAAAGTAGAACAAGTCGTTCGACCATATCACTTCCTCGATTTTGGTATGTTTAAAGCGTCAATGAATTGGTTGAAAACTGAATTTCAGACAAGTATATTCAACAAGCCAAACAAAGATATGCCGACACAAACAAATACACGATGAACGCGGTTTCAAATGAGCTTCAAGACGTCACCAGAATTATGGTTACCAACATTGAGGATGTCATTCATCGCGGAGAAGCTTTGAATAGTGAGTTTTGTTTGAAATGTGCCATGAAACCGTCAACGGCCATCCAGAGAATGGAGGGAATCGAATTAAAGTGAACTCCAGTACATTTCCCAGCACGATGTTTTTTTTTGCGACAAATACGTTGGCATTTAGGCGTAGATAAGTCAAATTTATGCTTTTCAAAAACGATAATTACTTTTCAAACTCCAATAACCGTCAATATGCCTGATTCATTATTAGATACAAACATCCTTTCTGCGAAATGTCTTGCTTGAAGAACATCTTGTTGCGAAATATGTTTTGTGCAAAGAACTTGAGTTCACGAAAACGTTGAATCTCGCAATTGTTTGATTTTTAGTTTTGGAGAACCGTGCTTCCGAGCTCTCAGGAATGAGCAAGAAATATCGTGACGACGCCAAAGCGCTGAACAGAAGATCGACAGTTTTCAAAGTAGCCGTGTCTATCGGAATCGCTGGTTTCCTCTTTCTTGTCGCACGTTTCCTTATTTTCTGACTTGAACATACGCCATAGTCATTTAACGCAAGGGGTGTGTTATTTTAAATTATTTCTTTATTTTTCAAACATTTGTATCAAGAAAAGTGGTTTTTCATAAATGAATCTTCGGAGAGTGCCCAGTTTTTTTTTGGAAAATTTTACTTCTTGTCAAGTCCTTCAGCAGGAGTGAATGTTGTTGTCTGAAAAATTGATAGAAAAGGCTAATTTTAAAACAAAAATCACTTGTCCACCAATCCATGCTTTGTATTGAGTTTCCTCATCGTTGACGTTGTCATGGGATTCAAATTTTGGCAGAGAATTTGTATCTAATGATATAAATAATTTAAGAACTCAATCAAATTGAAAAACCTACTCTGTTGCTCACCATGCGAGATTTTACTGCCTTCCGGAACTTGCTCATACTGGAATTTTTATAACACTTCTTGTCTTCATGTTATTCAAACTTACTACATAATGAACTACATTGTTCTTCTTCCAGTATTGCACATCAGAGTCGTTATTCAGTTCTGAAGTTATTTTTTTGCAGGATTTATGTTTTAATTAATGAATGATTTTAAGGCCATAACAGATTCTCACTTGTATTTCGGATTGTTCCAAACGCAGATTGACCTTTCTGTGAAGCAAACTTGTTAGAACCGTACTCCCAAGATATGCAAGTTGGCAATATTATTTTCCGTTTATGTTTCTCAGCTTGCTGTTTTGCATAATCCTAGATAAAGAATGAATGATAACTATAATATGAATTCAAAAAGATGAACTTGCAGTTTCTTTGTCCATTTTAAAATTGAGAAAAGGGAAGTTGAATTTTCGCCAGCAGTGAGGATAAGTTTAGCGAAAGATATGTCTAACTTCGTACGAAGAAAAAATATATTTACACAGTGACAGTCTTTTTGTGCAGGCGGTGAAACTTCAAGTGTTTGATCAGCAGAGCTTTATATAACGCTACTGTTCATCACATTGTTCGATTTATAAAAAAACGCAAAGAAAAAAGAATAAAAGCTTATCACAAGATATGCATGATTTTCAGCAGAAATATAACTACACTGAATTAAATGTTATCACAATTTGTTTTACAAACAATAAAATAACTAAAATATAAACGCAATACACAAAATTTACAAATAGCCATCACTTTTTGCATTTGTTCCAAGCGATGCTCAGCAACACCACAGTACTCTGAAAACATTCGATAAACAATTACTTCTCCAGAAATCTTGAATTACCAATATTATGTGTAGGAATGCAATCATTGTTGTGGTCCATCTAAATCCAACTCTCTCCACCACAACACTCCCAAAAGTTGGTCCGATGAAAGAACCAAATCCGAAAGCAGCTTGGAAAATTCCAGAAACACATCCATATGTATGAAAATTGTCCTCGAAACCTTGCTCTCTGGAAGAATTATGCATACAGTGTGTTATGATGATTTCAGAAAGTCTCACTTGACTTCATCTAAACACATCTGGAAACAAGGAATATAAAGAGCACTTGCCGCCAATCCGAGCACAGCTAGTGATATACCAATGACCCAAAGATCCCTGAAATTGGGAAATAAAAATAAATCAGGATTTAATCATAATCAGCTTATTACTTTTCTACATATCCACTGAGCAGAGGTGTTGGTCCAATGAAAAACATTGATAATAGTGTTGCAATGGATCCGAACAGAAGTAAAGTGTTTCCATTGTGCAAACGATCCATTACTGCTCCGAAAATAGGACACATTGCTGTATAGAACCCTCCACATAGCAAGAACATCAATCCAATTTCAGTTGGCGTTAGTTTGAACTGAAATATGTTTTTGTAATGTCGGAATCTCGATTTTTACTTTTTTTAAAAATCTTACTGATTCTAAATGGTTTGACAATGTTGGATCCAAGAACGATAAAGAGATAGCGCAAGCTACGACCGAGAATATTGGTAACCATATTGGGGGAAGCTTCAAAATTTCCATCATTCCTTTGTCTTCCGGCGAACTTTGGTCATCTAAAAATTCACGAAAATTGTAATAAGTTGATATTATTACTTATCCGATACCTTTGCTATTCTCAATCAAGAAAAAAGCTAAAACACTTGCTGCCAGAAGCACAATTCCCAGGACTAAAAATGGTAATTGAAATCCGCCAATGTCATAGAAAAATCCACCAATCACCGGACCAGCCGTGTAACCCAAGCCCGCGAACGTTTCTAATATTCCCTGAAAACGGGTATTGTCAGCAATCAAAAAACATCTCCAAATTTCCTACCACAACAAAGGCGACATTTTTCGGAAAACTTTTGGCTGCAATAGCAAAACTTGAAGTGACAAAAGCCGCATCTCCAACGGCTTCCAATATTCGAACAAGAACGCTAAACCAAAAAAACAGTGAACCCGGTGGGAGGTATTCAGGAACCTAAAAAGATAAGTATGAATAAATTATTAGGTTATATGCATTAGGGGGTAATGTGAAATGTACCCGAATAGAATGGCAGTCAGTCCAGTTACAGCAATTCCTACAATAAACATTCTCCTTGCTCCAATCCATATAATCTGAAACTCGGCAAACATTGATTTTCCTAAGTCAAATTTGCGACTTACATATTTTCCAAAAATGGGTGATATTATGAACATGGTGAACTCGAAAATTCCGAACACAATTCCCGTTTGCGTTTCAGATAAATTTTTAAGTTTAGCTTCAGCAGGATAAAAAGGTGCAATACACGAGAATGCAACTGTAGAGCAGAGATTGGCAAGACTTAGCATAGAAATTGATAAAATTTGTCGAGATGATAAGGCAGATACAGTACGAATTGCACTTTTAAGGAACGGCACCGATTGTTCTTGGTCCGAAACTTCACTGAAACGTTTTTCATGAGTTCTCTTTATCTTTTTGTTTTTTCCCAACAAACCTCTCTTCGTCTGATTCAGAGCCCTCTTCCGACTCCTTGATGCTAAGAGTATCCGCTGTACTTTGATAATTAACTTTTGTATTCAGTACAGTTGGTCTTGGTCCATCCACCGATATTTGTGTCGAAATTGGCATAAAAGGAGAAATGATGAATGGTCTGAAAAAAAACGTTTTTAGAAACGATAAAATTGAAACTACAATGATGATATACTTTCATGGATTTTTCAAATACCGAATTCGGCGCATCAGTATTTACTCGTTGTTCCTGTTTTCAACAAATCAAAGATTGGCGCAGATTATGTTTGTTCAGAAATCTCCGTGAACTAACCATTATTTTTCTAACCACCAAGAGAGGACCAGTATTTCTAATAAAAGTGTCAGTGAACTTAATTACTGATAATTTTTTGGTTCTGTTTTTCATTGTTCTCATTAAACTCAGACCACAAAACATTTTCCCTATAAAAAATTCATATTGATCAATCTATGCGTTTCAGAAATGACGTTTTCACCTGTTCTCGACGGTCATCACTATAGGTTAGAATAAAATATGTTTCGTACCGGGACAAAAGAGACTATTTTGTTCGATTGAGGTATTGAGGGTAACCAGTTAGGTTTAACATAAAAATGAGAATCGACTGCGCGTATAAGCTGTACCGACAACATTGAATTTGTACATCTACATTCGAGAGGACATGTATGGGTGTGAGAAAACAGAGAAAATTGATGTAATAATGTCTCTTGGTAAAATAGAAAAATCTTATTTTTTTCAAAAAACAGAAAGAAATTTTTACCCTAGTTTTATTGGATTTTTTTCAATTCTTAACATATTCGGTACATATTCAGCCTTACTAAAAAGATCTTTCTGCATTCACATTTTTCGAATTTAACTTCACTAACTTATGTCTTGGAAATCGTGAATCTTCCATTGAGCATGACATGGGAAAGGATAGAAAAAAAGTGAAAAATAGCGGATACTTTGTCAACAAGGAAACAAAGCAGCACCGCGATTCATGTCTTCTTTTCTTCTCTTTCATAAATTCTTTTCCTGACAGAATCAAAACAAAAAGTTTCAACAATTATATAATTTCTTTTTACCTTGGTTTTTTTGCTTTAATGTTCTGTTGCAGTGTATTGTATCTTGGACGACGCCGTTTCTTTCTCGCAAGTTCCTTTTGACCGATCTTAAAATTTTTTTTCGTTGAAGTCCATGACGTAATTATAATACCTCCGACCGTGTGATAGCGTGGCTAGTTTGATAATCTTCCAAAAATCCGTCATATCCAACTACTGTCGGTAAAGAACTGGAATTGGTAATGATATCTTTACAATGATATAATGGTTAGAAGACGGAGAAGATCACGTGCAAAAAACTAACACTTACGCTGAGGGATGAAGAAGTGGTGTTAGTTCAGTCTCCGGCGCATTTGACGTCGAGTAGTTTCTTGTTTTCAATAACTGTAAAAATAAAGTCTTTGAATAAAAGAAGTTTATTTTCAAGGTTTTTGATCAGCTCTATGATTTCACCTGAGCATGTGTCCGGTTATCTACAGCACCAATCGACACCACTTTTTTGTCTTTTTTTGCAAATCCAACAGATCCTGATTTTCTCGCATTGCTGGTACCTCCATAGTCAACTACTCTTTGGTACTAAAAACATATTATGACACAAGCTCGGTTTTTCTTACTCCCGGTTACTTCACTACTAGTGTCCATTTCCAAAGGATCTTGATCGAATGTGTATGGCAAATCGGTTCCCGACATTTTGTATCATTGAGAGTCAATTTCTAAAAGAAAAACATGCGGTTAACGTGAAAAAGCACTGGTTATGGAGTAAAATGTAATGGTTGAGTGAACCAATATCAGTCTCGCTATGAATCGATTGTTTTTGTCTGATCAACGTTGTCTTATCAATGGCCGCATGCACACACGCACAAAGGAAAATGTGTGTATGTGCGCACAATGTACTTTATCTCCGAAACAAGTCATAAACTATAATGTTACAGGCAGAAGGGTCGCTGGTTTTCCGTTCTGTGATGATAAGACAATGTGATTATAAAGCTAATACTTAGAAGTCATAACAAATTTGTTTATAAAGACAATTTATTTATTGAACACAATGGCAATAATTGTGTAGTAGGAATCATCAAATTACAGAAAAAATGGTACATGAATCTGGAAAAAGTTTTGAAAATTTAACATCGGGTTAATAAAGCAACAAATGATGAATAAAATTTTTGTTGATAAAAAAATGGACTGTTATGAAAATACTGATAGATAAAATGTTGTGACCATAACCTTATATATTGGTTAAATTTAATCACAATACAGTAGACGTGTTTTGATGAATCTGTTATTTGTTAATGAATGACGTCAACAAAAAATAACTACAACTAAACGATTTTGTATCATAACTTTCATTGAAAAGAAAAAACACCGGGTGGATTTATGTACATTCAAACTGTAATGTCTAGAAAAAAACTTAAAACTTGAGAGATTCATGGTTACCAAGTAAATCAAACAAATTAATAGGAAGCGTTACATACTGAAATTTGAAAAACATACGAAAATATAATTCTACATTTTTTTGAAGTAAATCATTCTTCGAAAAAAACGGCAAAAACAAAATCCTTAAAAATTAGACCATATAAAAAAGAATCGATCTGCACAGTTTTCCAATTTCGTGTCATAAGCAATAAGACGGTACATTTCCAATTTCAGAATCTTGCGATAAATTGATAAAAACTTTCATAGGCTACTTTTCAACTTTCCGATGTTTGTCCGTCTCTTTATCCCTCTCTTCTCCCACATGCTCTTCCTCTCATTTTCTATGATCTCTCATTTTCTTCTTATCTTCACACCTAAAAATCTTAGCTGCTACTCCCTTCCAAAAGTCTTGCTGTTACTCGCTTGTCCCATTTTCTGTTGGCCGCGCTGTGTCGTCTCACAGCTTGGACTGCTCAAGACACACACGAGGACTTTGAGAGGAGTCTCTCATATACTCTATCGAATAAAATCTAAATGATGCTGGGACAAGTGAGCATATGAAGAGGATAACTTGCTCTGGAAAGATGTGATCTTACTAGGCGGTGGTTTTCAGATATCGGGTCTCGAAGTAACTTTTTCCAAATTATCTTGTTTCCACCGTTTCAAAAGTTTTTAAAATGGTTTTGTTTTGAGTAATCCAATTCTGAAACTTCTAAATGAGATTTACCAAATTGCCTCGTTCCATGATTGCCTTGACTATCCCTCCCTAACTCAATTTATAATGCCATCAGTTTAGAAAAAAAACAAGGAAGAAGCTGAAAAACATCAGACTCATGAAAATGGTATATTTTTCTTAGTGAGAGTTTTTCGACCGCTGTGAATGAGTATCGTTTTCATCTTGTTTTTTCAGTTTACTTTTCAAATTCTGATTTTTTGTTCAGTCACGTCCATATCCTCTAATTTGAAAAATTATTATCCAAAAATGTTTTATTTTTACATGTTTTCATGGTCCAAAGCATATGTTGAGACGAATGTGAACCAGACTACCACTCCCCTGTTTTTTTTTCATTTTGTATATTTTCGTCTATGTTTCTACAAAATTTGATTAACTCTGTTTTTTTCTTCACATTTGTTTATCCTGATAATATATCTTACCTGACAGGCCAACAAATAAGACGACAGCACGGCAAAACAAGAAAATCTCGTGTTGGTGTTGTGACCCATCCCGTTGTGTTGATGAAAATAGAAGCAGTTGTTCATTGATAGAAACGAGGTGCAGAGCAAAAAAACGGAGCTCTAGCTTACAAAATTTATCAGGCAATATCATGGGGATATCGCACAGCAAAACGCAGACAAAGAAGAAAGCAAATAAAAAACTAACACCAGAAGAGTTGCAAACGCTTGAAAGTGCGACATACTGTAAGTTGTTTTTTTCCATTGTTTTAAACCATGATTATGTAAAAGTTGTATTTTCAATAATACATTTTAGAACTATATCAACTGTTAGATTTTTCAGTCTCCCGAAAAGAACTGAAAAAATGGTACAAGGATTTTGTTCGCGACTGCCCGAGTGGTGAGCTGAAAATGGAAGAATTTCAAGGAATTTACAAACAGTTTTTCCCCAACGGAGATCCATCAAAGTTTGCGTCATTTGTTTTCAATGTTTTCGATGATAATCATGCAAGTTGAAGCTCAAAAATATTATAATACACCAATTATGATTTCAGGATGGTCATATTTCCTTCAGCGAGTTCATTGCAGCATTATCCATCACGTCGCGTGGAACACTAGACGAAAAACTGGATTGTAAAGAAATCAATCACGCTATTCATCTGAAAAATTTTAATTCCAGGGGCGTTCTCGCTGTACGATGTAGACAAAGATGGATTCATTACCAAAGACGAGATGGCAGACATTGTTGATGCAATTTATAGGTATCAAGATAACAAAACAATATTGTCACATTAGTTTTCATAAAATTCCAGTATGATTGGTAACATGCTGGAATTGCCAAAAGACGAAGATACTCCTCAAAAACGCGTTGAGAAAATTTTCACAAATATGGACAAGGTAAATCAGTCAAACGGATTCAACTCATTTGTTCAATTTTCAGAATCTGGATGGTCAGCTGACTAGAGAAGAATTCAAGGAAGGCTCCAAAGCAGATCCATGGATTGTCCAGGCTCTTACCATGGATATATCAAACTGACCCAACTTCTCTGTTTCAAACTTTGAGCCGTATTATGATAACCATGAAAAAAACCCCTATCATTATTCACAGTTTTGCCGTTCCATGTGATCTTATTTGCTCTTTACATCCGTAAGACGTGACTTAATTCTAAAATTATTACAATAAATAAATGCTTTATTCATAAACTGTGAACTAAAGATTAGACGAATGAAGAGTTATCGAAAAAAAGTGTAATGGCAATTGCAAATCGGAATTAAGTTTGTTTTTGGCGCGGTTTGAAAGAGTATGTCAGTGTGTGCAAATCTCAAAAACAGGGAACAATTAGAGGAAAGAAAAAGGAATCGGGAGTTGTACATTATCAAAAAAATGAGTAGAAAAAAAAGTCTGAAAAATTATTGGTCTTTTTTCATGAAGGCTCCGAACATTTCTACTGGTACTGGGAAAACGATGGTCGAGTTGTGTTCAGCGCTGTAAATTGTGTTTGATTATTTTTTCACACATTCCAAAGTTTTTATGCAGTGTGTGTAGAAGTGTATCACTTACGCGATGCTGTTGAGTGCCTGCAAGTGACGAAGCTGAAGAGCCACCGGATTGGCTTGAATGACATCAGCTGCTTCTTTGAGAGCGCGCGACGCTTTCTGTTCTCCTTCAGCTGCCACCACTTTGGCTCGAGCCTCTCGGGCAGCTTCGGCTTCGGCGGCCATAGCACGTGTAAGTTGTTGCGGGAGACGAATGTCTTTCACTTCGACACGTTCTACCTGTAACGCGGAAATGAGAATTGGGACAACATTCGTTAATAATGCAAGCTCATTCCTCGTCAAAATGTTTCATAATGCTGAGTTTGAGTTTTATTTGAGTTTTTTGTATATAAACTTAAGCAACCCTCTTGTACCATATTTACTTGAGCCTACAACCGTAATATAGTATCCATGAGAATTTTGTTTTTACATTTTTGAATACCGGGGCTTATGATCACTAACCTTAACACCCCAATGTTCCGTTCCCTCGTCAAGGATAGTCTCGCAGAGTTGAGCAATAGCCTCACGTTCAGTAAGCATTTCCGTTAAAGTTTTCATTCCTGAAATGAGGTAATTTTTTCTCTACTCGCCGTTCTTTTCTATTCATACAAACCTAAAGCGTTTCTCAATGTGGTCTGAGCAAGAAGTTTGGTAGAGTAAATGGCATCGTCAACGTTGTTGACGGAAGCAATTGGGTCGGAGGTACGGAAGTAGACAACAGCGTCGACGGATACAGTTACAGAGTCTTTTGAGAGAATTTCCTGTGGTGGGACAGCGTAAGAGACAACACTGAAAACATAACTATTGTTGTTCTAATATTTGCTTGGAGGAGGTAACATACCGAAGATCGATCTTCCGGTAAGTGTCAATGCAAGGAATGATAAAGATCATTCCTGGACCACGGGCCCCACCAAACACCAAACGACCAATACGGAAGATGACCACTCTTTCGTATTCTTTGATTACCTAAAATTGCAAAAATTAGATTCCACTGTATTCTGTCAAAAAGCCTACTTTTAAGCAGACACACATAGAAAATGGGAATGTGACGAAGATGAGAAGCCAGGAGAGTGCTTGTAGAGCGTATCCGAAAATTGTGCCGATTGTCTCATAATCAGGTGGTACATCCTGAAAAATGTGGCCGTGTGCGCATATTATGTAATTCATTTCCACTTAGTGAACAATTTCAGTCTTAACGTTTGTCAGAGTTTCCTATTTCAAAACGTGAGGAATTAAAGTTAGTCACGCAAATTTGAAATTTAAAATTCAACGTCTCTCTTCTTTCATGTGCCACAGAAAAAGACGAGGCCGTCTCTTCTTTTTCTCTTTCACTCCGGAGGAAACTAATTATTCCAAAGTGTAACCAGTTCAGCGTCAAACTTCTGACGTGACCAACCGACTAGACCAACTCATGTGTGAAGTGCAGAAGCATCAAAGCTTTTAAAAATTCAAATTTCTGTCGACATAGTGTTGTATTTTGAAGCCAGACTCTAGACAATATTTTCTTTTACCGATTACTTTTTCCATATGCATCTGTAAGAAAAAACACAAAAACAAGCAGTGTTAATTGAATTTTGCACATTCTAGATCACGTAGGTTCATGCGACGAACAGATTGGAAAGAAGATAGAATTCATAAAAGGTACAGTGTGTGTGAGTGATAGGGAGTTTTAAAACTGTGAATGAAACACGCACTTGCTGTGATACCTGATTAGACGACGGCGTCACCCACTGAGGTTCTGTTCTTTCCTTGTTTGACATTAACCTGCAAAAACTGAGAAGGCTAGGGAAATTTTCAAATGAGAAAAGCATTATAGAATGAAGAAAACCATGAATTCAGTTTTATTTCATTTTTTTCAGTCGGAAAATGGTGCTAAATAATTTGAAGCTCGTTAAGCTTCTGATTAATTCAAACGCAGAATTTCTCCTGTTATTGGATTCACAGCATTTTTTTTTGAATGCAACAAGAACGAAAAAAGAAAGAATTTGAGATAGAGTGGAGAAAGAACTGACTTTGGGGCTAAGTCGTAGGCTACGCTTCGCAGCTCAGAGTAATTCAATAGGGGAAAAGGGAGTGTGGACCTCTCTGCAGTTCCAATGCTCCACCCACTTTGGCGAAAAGCGAAAACGACGGCGACTACGATGAAAAGAAAAAGGAGAGCTTTTCCGAAAGAGTGAAAAGAGCTTCAGAATAAAGAATGTGAGGAAGGAGACGGAAAGAAAAAAGAGAGGCAGAAAAAAGAAACGAAAAGTTAGCCCCAAAAAAGGAAGAGGAAAGATAAATCATAGATGTTTTCTAACATTTTTGGAACGCAATTCTTATTTTAGTTTCTCGCAAATTACTATTTTCAAAAGAAAACTTGCATGAAAACGCCTCAGTTTCATAACGGGAATCTATTTGGAATTATACCCGGAATAACTGCAAAGAGAGCGGATTGAGAAGTGTTCATCCGCGAAAATATTATTTAAACTAATTCGGAAAATGCCTGAAATTCATTTTAAAGTTTCATTATAAAGAATCCATTGGTAGATAGCTAGCTGAAAAATGCGTTGATGCATTCAGAAGGTCTCTGAGAATCTATGAATATTTTAAATCAAAAATGAATAGAAGGATAGAAATGAAAAGAATGCAGAAAAAAAAGAAAAAAATAGTTGGGGCGCTCGCGTGAGAAAATGAAATTTTGTGGTTTCTTCAATAGACAAAGCTCGTAGTAATAAAAGCAATATGTGGAGCCTTGAAAGAAAAGCGTGCTCCACATGCCGTGGGCTCCGTCCAGCAGCTTGGGAAGACGCGGAGCACACAATCGATGCACATCTCTTCTTCTTTCTTTACTTTCTTCTTCTTTTTCTTCTGTCCCGTCTCCTGCTATGCTTTACTACGACGAAAGCCACAGAGGAGCTCGGCAGCATCTGAAGCAGTAGGAAAAGAAAACGAAGTGGGAGACGAGGCGCTCACTCCTCTCCGCATCCCTTTTTTTTGGCACTATCTCTGTTTCTCATAGAGTCTTCTGGTCCCTACTTCACCGAGCTTCCCCTTCTTTCCGTTTCCCTTCTTCTTTACTCTTCACATTTAATGGTCCCAGGAGACACAGGAAAGTGAAGTGAGGCGTGCTAGTCCATCAGCTTACTTTTGATATTTTCTAACTTGAGGCGCCTTTCCAAAAGTGTCTATATACATTTTGGAGTGAAACCACATTAAAAAAACAAGTGAAGCACATTTTTCAGAAGTTTTTCACGTCAGATGACTTTTTTTCTTCACATTTGCGTGGCGACACACTTCAGTGAATATATCCAGACAATGACTTTTGGCTTTTACAACCTTTACCATCTACGTCAAAAAGAACACCGCCAACAATTGAAGACGACAAATAGCAAAATCACTTTATTGTGTGGGAAGTGAGAATGCCTTCAGTTAGTCAGAACCGGGAAAAATGTGTATTTGTTATAGGACGATTATAAATGACGAGTTTCTGCACATGAAAAGCTGAGAAAAATCATTTTTTGAATTAAACTATGAAACAAAAAATAATATGAAGAATGATGTCATTTTGATATAACCTGAGAACTTTTATCTGAAATGCCCTCCGTGTGGTCAACGTTTGTTGAATTGGTTGCTGTAATATGTATCAAAACATGAAATAATAAAGTACGTGAATTAGTTCAAAACTTATTTAGTTAAGAAAATGTTCTCTAATAAGCTTTACGGTAACTTTTGAATTAGTTAAAAATTTTAATTCTATTTTATCGTATTCTGAAGAAATCATTTTTGAAATTATAATATTTTGATACCAGTATTTGAATTGTGAAGCTGTGATGGAAATCAGGATAAGATTTGGGTGCATTATCATACATAAGTAGTACTTTTTTGAGAACTGTGGTTTCGCAGGTTAAATTGAAAAATAAAGCATTATTTAATATTCCGTATATTTTGGTTCCTGTAAAAAAATCAGAAAGTGGTCAACCAGTGAAATAGTTTTGATTTAATGGTAAACATTTTGTCAGTGGACTACTTTTCTATATTTTTCAGAGGAACCGAGATATATGAGTAACTATATGAGAGTTAACGTTAACAGTTTTGGTGGTTTTCTATTAGAGTGGTTACGGTATCTCAATTGCTACAAATGATGGACATTGTTCTGCAAATTGAAAAACTGGATCGTGGCCAACTGTGATGAAAATGTAAAAACATTTGTGAAAGAATTCTTGGATCGCGAAAAAAGAGCACCAGAAGAAACAGAAAAAGCGAACGACAACATTTTTCGATAGGAACACAAATCTCGATGGATTTCGAGAATAAGACGAAGTTGTGCACTTCATATTTTTAAATACAAAAACAGACTTTCAAATTTGTATTCTAAATAGACTGTGCATTTTCAAGCGACAATTTCTTCTGCGCGTTTTTATTTTGCAAAAAAAACACTGGATGGTTATCATAAATATTCAAATAAAATTCGTAGTGCCAAGATGGCCCCAGTCTTTTTATGGGTGCCTGACTGTATTGCTTTAAATTTTCCAATGAATAACAGTATAACAATACGGAGTGTTATATTCGAATCGTGAGATGTATTACGTAAATATGAGTTGCCTCGGTGACAGTTGCAATACAGTAAACATAATAATACGACCACGGGCGTGTGGCATATTTTCGCGCACACACAGGCAGATGTTTGGTTTTTGTACCACCCAGCTGGGAGGAGATGGGCTGGACAGAAAATGTCAAAAAGGAGTCATAAATTAAAACGGTTACTAAACAAGATACGATAATGATTGATGAAGAGAAGTATTGTAGGCTAACCACAGAGTTCTGCTATTGTGGAGGAGCTGCAGTTTTTGTCACCTGGAAAACAAAGAAAATATGCGAAAGAAAATATCTATTTTCTTGTTTTGTAACTTCCACTAGTCAAATTTCCGGTTTGGTTCAGAACTCTAAGTTTTTTGTCCATTCGATTGTTCGTACAACTGTAGGATTCTGATATCCTTTTTTTTCGATTTTTAGCAAATTGCCGATTTTCACATCTTTCAACCAAGTTTACCAATGTTTCCAGACATTTTCTGTCTAATTAGAGATCTGAAAAAAGTATGGATTCCTCCAACCATATTGTTTGTGTTGGAGGGGTGACTGTGCTTTGAGTATAGGAATGACACATACACTCTTATTAATCAAGATGCGTTTTTTCTTACCGTTGCACAAAGGAACCATGTCGGCATCTTGTGAAGAAAGTAAAAGGAAAAAGCCTGGAGAAGGTGAGTGTAAGGATTGGCTTACTGTCAGGAGAAGTTTATGACAGTCTTTGTCACGTTTGATATTGTTTATTGTCCAAAACATTACCGTTGAGTATTAGTAAGTGGCATATCCAAGAATTTGGCTTTGCTCTGTTCTGCAAAAACCTCTCGTCCCGTTTTTTTCATAATAATTTTTTTGATTCAAAACTTTGCAATATTAAAAACATGGATATGAAAGCTTTCAATTGTCATACAAATATATTGGGTTTATGAAGTTATTCATTTTGCACCCACGTTACCGTATTCCACAATGGAAAAAACAGATGTGACAGTTGACAATCAGAGTTGATAATGTTTATGATCCTCTCATAATAGAACATTTTCTGCATAACACACTTAATTGTCAACTAGTTGTCAAATTAACAATTCAGCTCTAGTTAATACATGTTTTGATCGCATGAAGGAAATAAGGTATTTTGATGATAGTTTCATTAAATTTCTCGAATTATTTGGTTCGACCCTACCTGAAAAATCCGTATTCGTCTGATAAAAACAAGATAAGTGTTTTCGATGAATATTACCCACCTGCTTTTTCCGTCCGTCACCCATGTTCATTCGTTTGGCTCTTCCTCTCGTCCAATATTGCACATCTTCAACCATTTCAATAAGCTTTTAGAAGAGGGTGGTTCTCCTCTCCTTCCGTTTTCCACTGCCACCATTCACTCAAACGCATCCTCTTTAACGTCATTCGTTGGTGCCATACAACCCAACCTCAGTCTACAGTATCCCTCCTGGAAGCTCATGCTGTGTTTATTCCTCTCCCAATCCGACTCCGCCCCATTTTTTTATTCAAGATAACCCTTCTGTCCATAGGGGGAGAGCAAGCCAACGCATCAAAGCCGAATTACATGGTCTGCATCGTTTATCTATCCGGGATGGAAAGGTGAGTGACAGGAGTTTCTAAATTGAATATTTCTTTTTTTAATTTCAGAAAATTTCAAAAGTTTTTTTTTTCAATTAAGAATTGTATATCTTATCTTACTCGCTTGGTTTTTTTTTTATTTTGCATATATTTCAGAGATTGCGATATTGTTGACTTGGATCAACCTTCACTTGGTTCGGGGATCATTATCAAAGATGGATCGCCCACCAATATTTGTGAGTCTTAGAATTCTATGAAAATAATATGCCAATAATTCTTTCAATCTTTCATAAGGTTTCATAAGGCGAGAGACGAGCTTTACAAGCCTGATGAAGCACCTTATAAAGCCCAAAACTTATTCCTTTTGATGAGTATCCTTTTAGCGAAAACGTCTAGCACAACGGAAGACAAATTGTGTTCTGGTTGTGGGTGTCAAATCAAAGATCGGTATATATACAGGGTGAGTAAATTTTGTGTCCCATTTTCGTAGAATAAAGTAGTTCATTTGAAAAGTTTGTATTTTGAAGAAAACATTTTTAGTATATCCAATTGCAAGAGTTTCACAATTCTTGCTGTGATGCAATTAGTTTCGAACCTAAAATAAGATGAGAAGTATCGTATTATGTTTTATCAATTGGCAGGACTTGAAAAAACGAACATATTGTTATTCATATCCATGCAGATATGATGAGAAAAGAACATCCATTTCCAGGTAATGGACGAAAGTTATCACGAAACTTGTCTACGATGCTACTGTTGCCAGTTGTCTCTCAGCTCCTTGAAAAAGTGCTTCTCACGACATGGCAACATCTATTGTGAACACGACCATCAAATGTAAGTTTTCAAAAGAAGTTGCGTGCAACTCATTACTTAATGCCTATTAATTCAACTATTCCTCATGTTCTGAGAGAAGTCCTTGAGATACCAATCTAACTAGTTATTTACGTTCTGTTGACTTTTGGACGGTGCAATTTGTAAGGGTTCCCTATCTTCTTAGGTTATACACCAGAACATGGTAATCCGCGTAAAGATTGGCACTTGAGTCGCAATCATAGAGTGAGATTATAGCAACAAATATGTGTGGGATTAGTAGCGGATGAAGTGAACCCTTGACATGGCCACCTGAAAAGAGTCATTCAATATATCCAAAAATTTATTCAGCTCGGATTCTAAAAAGAATTTTCTTATATCTCCAATTTTTCAAATTTACGATTTGCAAATAGAAAAGCAGATGCGCGAAATGGGAATTACCAGAATGAAAACCTGGCAGCTACCGTATTCGTTTTGTTTGTTCAGGATTCGTAAATTTCGCTCCAAGCGTTTTAGACGTTGCGGGTGGAGAAGATATGAGAAATTGCAGTGAACCAAAATTTGAAATGCACAAATTCGCAACAAGAAAACATACAGAATCCGGAAAGATTGCTTTTATGTCGGATCATATTGAAACACATTCAACACCGTACTGAATAGTAATTCGCAGATATGAAGTTGAAACTTTTATCTGGTTTTTTGTTTTACTTGGAGGCTCACTAGTAGTTATAGGTTATTGGCGTGGCTTCTCAAACTCATAAACAAAATTATGTAATTCATTACCAGGTTATTTGGAAAACGTTGTCGAAGATGTATGACAGTACTTTCTTCAACCGACATCGTGCATCGCGTTCATTATATGTACTATCACGCCCAATGCTTCAACTGCTGTTCTTGTCAAGGACCATTCAACTTAGTGAGTAGATACAGAGAATGCAAAAAAGGAAATAAAACCGCATTTAGGGAGACGAATATCATGTCTTTGATGGCGAAGTGTTTTGCCGAAATGACTATCAAGCGATGTGTGATTTTGGAACAAGTAACACCTAGAATAATTATTGACCAACCTCTCATTATCAAACTTTCACAGGTTCCGAGTCGATGTTAGACGACGCAGTACAATCTGAGATTCACCGGAAAACTCCAAAACGCCCACGCACTATACTGAATGCTCAGCAAAGAAGACAGTTCAAGACAGCATTCGAAAGAAGTTCGAAACCCAGCAGAAAGGTTAGTATATTTTATTTTAAATTTTGTATAAAATGTTTCATTACAGGTGCGCGAACAACTAGCTAATGAGACAGGACTCAGTGTGCGTGTTGTCCAAGTGTGGTTTCAAAATCAAAGAGCAAAAATAAAGAAAATGAATAAAAAGGACGGTGATTCTGGAGACGTCTTTAAACATGGACCTGGCAGTGAAGGAAGAAGTACGGAGGATATCAGAAGTTCAGATGATGAGGAAGAATCTGTGATAAGTGAGTTTAGAGACCAATGATAGTTGATCTTGTTATTTCACATTTTTGAAATCGTAAGAACTGGCTGTTTTCCAGACTTGGAAGGTGATGAGGCGGAATCACCAGAAGCCAAAACTTATGCTGACCCGATTCAGAAGCTTTACAACATGACCTCATCTCAAATATATTTTCCATATCATTCTTGATTTTGGTGTTTGTTTATTGCATTTTATATATTTTATCAATCCATCGAAAACTTTTATAGTACTTCAACATTATAATAATAAATACTCGTCAAATCGAGTAGATGATGGAAAAGAAAAGAGTTTTGTGACAAAATTGCAAGCATCAATGGCAAAAAGGCAAATGACATGTGTGTCCCGTTGGCGCTCAGTATCCAATGCTCTTGAAATAATCGGCAAGAGCTCCGGTGGTCTTGCTGCACATTTCTGGCTGGAGTCCTTTCTCGTAAATTGATATGATGACAGCTGAAAATATTAAAACAAGTAAAATAATTTGAGCAGAATTCACACACCTTTGGTAGTTTTTAAATGAAGAACCCAGATCCACCTTGCTTTCCAATCACTCTGTCCTCATCAGCGTTAAGGACCAAAAACTTTTGTCCTTCCAAACGGAGTCCAGTGCCGAGAAGAGCATCCTGTAAATCAGAGATTGTAACAAAGTCAGAAAATAGTTACTAACCAGAGCGGAGAAAGCTTTTCCAGCTGCAATTGCTTCTTCAGTGGCGAGCTGAAAAAGTTTAGATAAAATTAAATGTATAATTTTTCATGAATGGCAAATTTGCATTTGACCATTAAAGAATTCACTACATTTTCATTTAAAAAACTATTAAAACTTACATTGAAATTATCACTCTTAGCCCAGATAGCCCCGTCAAAACCAAGAATGGCGGCTTTGCTAACGTTACCGGACCCGATTAGGTTATTATTGATAATATCCGACCACGACATAGTTTCTGAAAAACTTCACTGAGACAATGGAAAATTAACAGGACGACAATAGCTTAGAAAAGATTTCATGAACCAGTCTCAAAAACAAAAAGATAAATGAAAAAAAGGTGCAGTTGTTTTGTGCGTGGGAGGAGAGACAACAAGTGACGCCCTTCTCCTGGTTTCTGACGTTTTCTGAACAAATCGTTTTGAAATCTTGAGGATGACTAATGAAGATGTAAAAATTACGAAATGTTTTTAACAACCAAATAAATGTATGTAAAGTAATATTTTGCTCTCTTTATATTTTTGGTCCTTTAACTTGTTTCCAATGTTCTTGTGAAAGAAGGATTGTTAACTTTGAAAGCAAGATAATCAAGTTAAATTCAGAAGTTTGCATACTTCGCCTCCAAGTCAAAACCAGGATAAAATCGTTAAAAGGAATCTAAGGCAAAAAGAAAACGGGCATAGATGTTTAGACCGGGTTTTTTTTCTGTTGACTTTTTTCTGGTCTCTAGCTTTTTTTTTCCTAGAAAGATAATCTTTTTTGATTATTTTCAAATTTCAGCACTTGCCAAGTTATATGGTATCAGTTGCCAATAGTCTTAAATGTAAAATATAAAAAGTAAATGATCAGGCAAATTATTATCAAGCTTTTGGCAGCCGGTCCGGCCAAGGCGACAAGCTCAATGAGAAACTTTATATAACTGTTTTCTATTTCAGACAAAGATTGGCGCTGAGAACATTTTTGAATTCCAAAAATCAGGGATTGAAACTATTGAGTTTAATAAACAAAAAAAACAATAGGGGCTTCAAAATCAAAATTCTCAAAAAGGCAACAAAAAATCAGATGCAAAAATTGTTTCATATAAGATTCAGTTCCCGGGTTTTGGGGATTCTTTGCACATATCACGAGACTCAGACTCTGAATTGCTGCTCAATAGCCGGCCGCCCCCTTTCCTAAGACACCAGTTTTGCCTTGGGAACAGTGTGTTGATCCTGGAGAGAGGGCAGAACCGATCGCAAAGTCGAACAGTGTACAGAATGAAGTATCGCAGATAGTGGAGCGGTGGGAGAGAGGAGAGTCACCCTCGGGCAGATCTTGGCAATCCAGTGTAAAGCGTCCGTGTTGTTTCGCCAGTGATGTGTTGCTCCCTTTTTCTCTCTTGGAATTGGGATTTCTCTAACTGAGAAATTGGCGGGAAGAGGTATTGATAAATAAGAAGCATTCCGCTCTTAGTCTTCTATACATAAAAATGAAGACCGATATTGTCTATTCAAAACAATCGCGCGGGTGAAAGAGTAAAAATGTTTGCGTCTCTACAGCTCCTCTACAGGTTTGGAGACTCTCTACACGTTTTTTTACTCGTTCACCCGCGCGATTATTTTGAATACAATATATAAATATGTAAAAAGCGTGATATCGATGATAATTAAAAGTGATATATGAGTTAATATTTTAAAAGCTGTCAGAAATTCTCACATTTTATCGTGAGGTGTTACTTTTTTCCGGTCGAGGTGATTTCTGAAAGCAAGATGCTGAGTTTAAAAATACCCCACTCTTTGAAAAATTGCCCATCGTCATGATTCCACAGAGGTGTTGGCAAATTTATCAAAAAAATTGTCTTTGTAACTTTCAGATTAAACGAAAAACTCCATGAACATTAAATCCGACATAAATAGGCCAAACGTATACATGTGAAATTAAAACCACTGCTTTCCTTTTTTCTTTGTTATTTATCGTTTGTCCCATAAAAAATGTTTTGATTGTTGTATGAATATTCAGAAACTATTTGAACACTGGTATTTTAACTTTTCATAATAGTTGTGCGGTTTTCTGAAATATTTAAATACAAAAAAATGAACACGAAGTATTACTCAGGCAAGTAGGTTAAAAGAAGTATGGAAGAAATTCGACAAAGAACAGTTGAGGACATCCACCCGAGACTCGCTAGAATCTTTCGCTACAAGTATTTCCATTTCACCAGAGTCGAAAAGGTATGAGATAAGGTAGCATTCAAACAGAGATGAGACAAGAATAGCATTAGAAAAGAACGGCAATCACGATGAAGTCAGCATCTATTTCGAGATTTCACGCTTCATGGACATTAGATACACTTTTGAAGGTCGGTTTGAGAATGTGTCCAACACGATCGGTGGCAAGCTCGATATCCTGAAAATATGACGGATTCGCGTTTGTTCTAAAGGTTTTTTAATCACTTTAATGAGCTCAGAGTGACTCATGAGCATTTTAGAAACGGTGTCGTCGTCACCAATGTTGAACGATGCTAATGACGAAACTTCGGAATTGTCCGATCCGTCAGAGAGTCCAATCGGTCGAGTGTGGTAGCTGATGTCCGCTTCGTCAACATGTCTAAAGTGTGACCAAATCAGCGTTTTAGCTTTTTCTCTAAAAGAAATACCTAGTTGGAGAAATCACATGTTTCTCATTGGAGATTCCGTTGCCAATAAGCTGTTGTGCTAGCAAAATAACTCCGGAACCTAGTGATTTTGAATTCCTCTTCTCACTCTCTTCTTCCTGTTCAGCTTTCATCATGTTAAGCACTATAGAGTCGTCGTCCTAAATGAACACTATTTTTGAAAACCCAATTTCAGTGCAAATTACCTTATCAATGATATATTTATCTTCATACGGAGGTGGAGCAGTTGGAGCATACGGTGGTGGGTTACCGGGTAAATTAGTGCAGTTCCTACAATCTTCTTGTCTGTCTTCCTGGTCGGATGAGACTCCGCTCTCCAAAGATCCAGTTGACCTTTCCTCATGTATTCTTTCACTGATCCTTTCCAAATTTCTTAAAGAAGTTGTGTAATCGTTTTTCTTCTGGCGGACTTCTGCTTCTAAGCAAAGAATGGTGGTTTTCTGAGCTTCCAATATTTTTGTGAACTCCAGCCTCTTTTCAAAGTACAACCGGGATTTTTTGATGGCATAACTGAAAATTTTAGGATTTCGAGAACACTGTTCCTTTTTTCATCAAAATTTTTTGCATTAGTAATAACGAGCCAAAAAAAAAGTAAAATCTGCTTCAGAGCCAATCCAACAGTTTTTGTTCAAATAGTTAATTTTTTGGTTACAGTAATTTAAGCTAGTTTTCTGAGTTTGGCTTTGAAATCCATGATATCATTTTTATGATACATTTCAAAGTTTGATGAACAGCTTACCGGTTATCTTTTTCCATCGAACGTATTTTTTCTGCCAAATGGAGCATTGTGTGTGCTTTTGTTGCATGCAATGACTCAGCAGCAGTCCTCTCCTCCTCAACCTCTCGAACGCGCTGGATATGGTGATTAAGCACCTAAAAAGTTAAGTTTAGATCTGTTTGTTTGCACATCTGGGTGAAATTAGCGGTTCTTGTTCAATAATAGTAGGCAAGTTTGCTATTTGACCAGCTGTTTTACATTTATAGGTGTAATTAACGGTTCTCTACTAAAACCAAACGGTTGGTTGTTGAGGAAAATGATTTCGAACTGATAACAACAAAACTTGGAGTTTTGGAGGTTTTACGTATTATCTTACTTCAAGGCACTCCGGAAGAACAGATGTTTGTCTTGAAAGACTCTCTTGAGTCAAAGAAACTTGTTGTTTCGCAATGGCAAGAATTGATGTTGCCCGTTCAAATCTTTCGGCTGCTTTTTGCGATTCTTCTCTGAGTTTTCTTTCCTGAAAACAAGATTTTCCGTTTTAAAATCAAATAAATAAAAAAGGAATCAAAAGTTCGATAAAGTATCGCTCACTTCAACTTTCAACTCGTAAAACGGGCGAGCTTTTGCGATTTGACTAGAATACTGTTTTGACAGCTCTTTAAGTTTTTCTGACCATTGAACTTGAGTTTCTCTGCAATAGATAGTTTCTCTGCAAAAGATAAAAACTATAAAATTTCAGTTTCAAACCTGAAATCTGCTCTTGCTGCATCCAACTGAACTTCCATTTTGTTGATCACATCGGTTGATATGTTCAGTTTTTCTAGTTCTTCGTGAATCATGTTTAAATGACGTGTTTCTAGTGGCGGATGTCCATCTTCTTCAAACTGTCTTGTGTTATGTTCTATAATTAAAAGTAGTGATAATTGAAGTCAGTAATAATAGAATATTGAACTCACCAGACATAAAATTTTCTGTATGTTCCGAAGAAGTAGCAATCTGTTCCATGGTTTTTTGAACGGTTTTGTTGATAGTCTTATAATTACTAATTCGAGTTTTCTGCAAAAACGAATTTTCTAGAAAGTTATTATAATAAGAGACAACATAAGACGAATTTAAAAATATTTTAATGCATTATCAAAACGGGAAGGAACAAAAGAAAATTTATTATAAGTTAAGAGAGAAGCCAAGACTAAACCAAGAATAGCCTACTCTGGTAAATTTGCTTGAGTTCGCGGGAGAAGCTGAAAAAATAAGTAAACATGTCAAGTGTAAAAACCGGCTGGAAGCCAGGTTAAGAAAATGCTAAGAAAAGTAGGGCAAGAAACTAGAAATAAAAAAAGAAGAAGCGAGGGGAGCAAATATATTGTGACTCGTGTCGGCGGGAGTTTCATGCACACACTCTCACACGCAAATGAATGCATACATACATTTGAATTTTACCTCTGCCGCCCTCATTTTCTGCTGAGAGAAATGCGCGATCGCGCATTCACCCGACCGCACACACGGTAGCAAGGTTAAAGCATGAAAGAAACGAAAAGGTGGCGGAGGTCTAGAGACATAGAAGTAGATAGAATGAAGAAAAGGAAAGGAATCTGTAAGTAGGCAGCATGTAAATAAATTGCGACTTGCTTTCTCTCCCTAAAATTCTTGGTATGTCCACTAATCAACTCGAACATGCTCACCACAGGGCCAGGCCAGTCTGATGAAAATTTCCAAGACACAGGACGTCTGCCTTGAACCTAATATTACATCTTGGTAGAAAACACAAAACAAAGGTTTCTCGAAACCAGCATAAACAAAAAACGTAAATATGACAGTGACCTTAAATATTTATTTGTTTTTTCAGTATAAACAATTTTAGAAAAGATTTTGGAAAAGCGAGAAAACGAGAAGTTACGGACTTAAACAAATGAACTTTATTCACAAAACTGGTGAAAACACATGTTATAGAAAATATAAAAGATTGGAACATATATTTTTTACCGAGGGAAGTTCTCCATTTCACAAAACATTTAGTTATTTTTGTTTACTGATTATCTAAAACATATTCTTAAAACTATGAAATTGTCTAAAAACTAAAACAACAGAAAAACAAATCAACGCAACACTTGTGTCTCTATCATCATCAAATATTTCCGGCTGATGTCATAATAATACTTCATATGATGTTTTCTTTTTTTTTTGTTGGTTTTTCGTTATTCTATAGAAAAACAAATGTGTTGTCGAGTTAATTAAACCGCAAATTAAAATGGGTTCAGATGCAAAAATCAATTGCGGAGATTAATCCACAATTTAACAAATTCTTCAATTGAGTTGAGTAGCTACACCATGTAAAAAACGTTCTCAAAGAATAACGTTTGTAAATTTCATACTATTTTGAGTGAAAAAACGAATCCGAACAAAGGTCAAAGGGCAAAAAAAAGTCAAGCTATCATGCAATGGAATGTGTGTTTCAGGGTACACAAACTTTGCGTGCGCGTGCGTGTGTGCGTGTGAGTGTGTATGTGTCTCTTCTTTCTCTCACTCGCTCAATTCTTCTCTCTTGGGAGGCTAGGAAAAAGACGGGGTTGAGGTAGAGATCGGAAGGAAACAGAGTGACAGCTGTATACAATGCGCCTGCGACCCCGAATAGCGGAAGAATTCTAGAGACGGCTGACGAGAAAAATATCAGGCAGAAGAGAATAATGAGACGACTGGGAGGTACTACGAGAGTAGCAGATGGGAGAAGAGAGCGTGAAATGAACGGGGCGAAAACTAAGAATTGTGAAAAACGAAAAAGAAGAAGGAGAAGAAGAAAATGAAGAAGAAAGAAAACGACGAGGAATGCGTTTTCTTTCGACTGCTTTTGCCCGATGCAGCTGTTGTTGCTGTCATCAAGACATTTCGATTTCATAAGAGACAAGCAATACGAGATTTTTTAAAGTGTGAAGAAAACGAAGAAAATTGTTTTTTATTTGAACTGCAATCAAAGCTATCCTTACTCTCACACATTATTTTCTAACCGAGAGAAAAAGTAATGTAAGAAGGTCATGAAAAAATATTGAATGAATGAAATCCAAACAAAAAAAAAGTTTTTAACTTATTAGTGCACATTAAAAAACAAAAAAAAACCTCATTAATCACTTTTTGAAAATTGATCGTTGGTGAAATTTCAATAGTTTCTTACCTCTAATTGTTCAAAATACTTTCGAAAGCATTTTAAAAGTAGTAAACTAAATTTACATCGACATCCGCATGAAAGGGATAGAGTTCTAATCGAAACTGCATTGAAACAACCCATTGAATTTTTCTAATGGTGTTCTTGAAGACATGAAGATGTCTGTTTTCTGGTTTCAAACAGGAACCATTTGTAACATAATAATGAAATGGAGTTCCAGTTGATTGAAAACAGGTATTACTGAAGTGTTCCCTGAACCTTGAAACCATTTTGCAAAATGGTTCTCATGCATAACATCTTGTGAAGGTTATCAGAAATTTTCGACTCAATTTGCATTATCTCTATTGAACTGTCAAATGGAATGCGGTCAGTTTTCTATAACATAGGCGTAAAATTCATTTTTGTCATAAGAACATCCCAAACTACGACAACTAAAGCGATGCGAGATTTTGTGTTTATTTTCAAATGAAATGACAAGGCGCCATCAAAGAATGAATTAACTCACTGAGAAATAAAAAAAATTTCTGTAAAATTGTAAAACACAAATTCGAACATGTTATTTGCAGTAATCAATAATATTTAGTTCCAATGAATCCATTATCATGTACCAAATTTTAAAAAATATTGCTTTGAAATCGTTTTTGTGTTTTTTCCTTTTTTCCCTCATGGCTCACATATGTCATAATGACCTGTGAAAAACCGCTGAAATACGCTACACGGAAAAAAATTTGAAGGCATCTGAAATTGAACAATAAATAGTTGTGTCATAGACAACTGATTGGAAATAACTGTCTAATTTGAATAGCAACAAATTGCTGTTGAAAATGAATTTCGCAGTTCGAGTGAAACACGATCAGTTCATATTCTTAATTTTCACAGTATCACACTAAACTTTACTGTTTGATTGAAAACTGACGTAAAAGGAGTCATATGACGTCGCCGATATGCTCCTGTGATCTACTTTGTCTTTGACACTCGCACAAATATCAATGTTCTACCAGGTCCTTATCATTGAAAATTCTCGTGTTTCTGCTTGACAATATAGAAACAACAGGGTTTTAAAAGTGACAGCATATGAATTTGATACTCCCAAAATTGCTTTCGAAAGGTGTATTGCAGTTCTTGCTGGAGTTCTTACTCTTTGAATTTTTTTTTCGTAGTGCACAATTTCTTTGTTTTTATTAAGCTACCAGTCGTTGTTAAGCTTTAATATTACAGAATCGACTAGAAATGAAACATTTTCAAGTAACGCGCTTACTTCTTTCTGTTTTCTACTCGACTGCTTTATCTCGCGCAATGGAAACTGTGAATGAACTACCTATTCAAGCAGTGTCCGTGTCAGGAAGATTATTTTGTGGAGACAATCCTCTTGTGAACGTACCTGTGAAATTAATCGACAAAGATCATGGTAAGTTCCACTTGCTTATCATGTAAATATTTTTTCGTTGGTGTGGGATCTGAACAAAAATTTAAAGTTGTTTAAAGTTAAAGAAATTTTTTTCGGGAAAATTGAAGTTGAGTTTTTTGTATTTTCTTTTTTTGTTTGATGTTGTCTATTTGTACCTCAAGAAAAAACCTGAAAACCTGAAAACTTGTGAATATGTTCATAATAATCCATGTCGTAAGTGTGCAAATTAGAAAAATAAATTATGCGATTATTATTACCTCAAAGATTGAGTACTGTTTTTAAAAGTATCTCCTTTGTTTCAAACAGTTTAATTAAAATCAAAGTTGATTTTTGTCCACATTAAATTTTTAAGTGTTTGTAAACAATATCAAAGTGAACGTTGATCAGCTCGATGTACAAACATAGAAACTGTTACTTTAGAAAAAACTGAGTTAATAATTAGTTGAATTTAAGACAAAAAAATGTTTTAGATCACAGGATAATAGTCGATTTTTGAAAGCCGCTGACGAGGGCTTCACCGGAAACACTTCGGCGGGTAAAGAATTCCAACATCTGATTACTCTATTAGAGAGAAATTGAGAAGATATTTTTGTTGAGTTCTTGATGAGTGATTTGAGATAGTATTTGTGACGTCGCAACGATCCAGCATGATTAAATTTCTCGAAAATTCGAACCTCCATGATAATTTCTTTGGAAACAATAATTTTATACGTGAAGCCCAATTCATTATAGAGCCTGCGATACTCCAAAGAACTTAGCTGACATTCTTCCAGTGCTTCAAAGTATGAAGTGTATGCCATCCTGAATTTTTTGAAACTTCTGAAAACAAATGACTTTTGCACCTATTCCAATTTTATACAGCGTCCTTGAAAATTAACCAAATTTACCATTTTCATGCCCATATAATGTGGTAAACAGTTTCAATAGTTTAAATAAATTATACAAAATTAGAAATGTAAAGATATCTCCTTGTCAATTAGTGTTAGAAGTTGCTAACAATGTTTAAAGTGTTCCGATTGATTTCAATATATATTTATGTACATTACAGGGTGGCTTTTAATTATTGACACCAAACATGCGAGCTAGGTATGGGGCACACCAAACGCACTAATTCAGATTGTTTTATACTTTTCTCGTTCCTCCACTTAGTGTCCATATTTCTGCCAAATTTCATAACATTTTTCATTTGTGTCTGAAAGAAATGACGGCTCATTTTCCAACCCCTATTTTCGTCATCAACGGTTCAATTAAAGGTAACCTCCTGAGTGATGTTACAGAACCAGTCCGTCTGGACATCATGTTAATTTTTTCTCATTTACACAGACGTGGGTTATCTAATCACAGATTTTCGAGTATCTGTGACATCAGTTATGACCGTTCTAGCCGGGAAAAAGAGGATTTGCTGAAATTCAGACTAGAGTTACAGAAAGCTCACTGCTGACTTCAAAATGGCTCGACGCTTGATGAAAATGATTTTCAAAAAAGAAAAGACTTTAAGCGCTTTTAAAATTACTAAATTTACTGTTTGGAAAAGATAGAACAAAGATTTGTGACTCCAAAAGCACCGGAACTGTCTAAGCGGCACGCGCCTAACACTCGCATGAGGATACCACCTTCGAGTGATAATTTTTATAGTCAAAGCTGACGAAATCGGCCTGAATTATGAATTTATACTCAAATGTAAAATATATGTCTGTCATCAAGTGAAAAACCCATATAGAACTTTGCATCCCGATTCGGCAAGGATCTTTGATGGGAGCACTGGAAATTGCGAAAAATCCCTTGTTTTCCTCGAATTCCGAACCAAAATCAATTATCGATCCTATCTAACTGATCAAGATGCTGCCTTAGCCTGAATTCTACTCGAAAATTTAATATTGGGCGTTCCGGCAAGCTTCAGCCACGGTTTGCGGTGCCAATGACACCCCATGGGGTAAACTCAAATTTCTGGAGTTGAACTAGACATAAGAGTAGATCGCTTTCTCCGCAGACTTAAACATAATAAATTATTCAGTCTCAGGGTATTGGACCCAGACAGTTTCTTCATGAAAATACAAAACTTCGAATTTCCGATGGCCCCCCTTCGAAAGATATGGGCACCAATAGGCTAAAACTACCACCGTGCCGCCGTAGTATCCTTTCCGAAGCTTCTGACGGCCGTCGTCGGAGTGAAAAGAAGTGAATTCAAAAAAGGTTGCATTAATATAAATTTTGTTCGTTTGAAATTTTTTAATCCAAAACTTTGAAGTTTTTCATCGAGTTTTAGAAGCGTTATGAAGGCTTCAATCGGGGTGTCAATAATTATAAGCCACCCTGTATATCACAAAAAGAATTTCAAAAAATATTTTATTATTTTCTTACAAGTCAATTTATAGGTGATGACCGAGACGACCTTTTGGATGAGAAGAGAACTGATGAAGAAGGTAAATTTCACGTGACAGGTGGAACTTTCGAGAAAGGAACAATTGAGCCAGCACTAAAAATTTATCACGATTGTAACGATGAAGAGGTGGTGAGCGTGTTTTGTTCATTAATTACAATTTGCAATGTACTTTCAGAAATGTCAAAAAAGGCTATTCTGGAACATCCCACAGAAATATGTGACCACGGATTTGTACAAAATTCCTGTTTTCAATCTTGGGTCCATCAACTTGGAATTGGGATTCGGAAATGAAAAACGAGATTGCAGACACTGAAAAATCAATTTTCTGTTTAGATATAATGTACATATTGTGACAGTATTACGAAACTTCGAGTTAATTTGTTTTTCCCCTATTTCACACATTACCCAAGTTCGTTTTGTGCAGATGTCATTGAGCAAAATTGAGTTTCAAAAAATATATAACTATTCTCTACTTGTGTGTGCGTTTGTTTGGCTACCCAAATGCATCCTTTTGTAAAAGCGCACCGGAACAAATAAAGGATGTTTTCAAAATAATAGGAAGAGGATACACTGGTCATCTCAATCGGTTGTTCACTCGGTAAACTATTCACCTCGTTCTCTATCGTTTTTACTTAAGGACTTGGTGTAAATCTTAAACAAAAACAAAAAATACAAAACTAAGGTCACGGTGTGCAAGCAAACTCATCCTTTGACTTTTTTCGAACTGGGAGCACTGGTTTATCATTTTTGTTGAGAATTCTGACACATGAACGTTGTTTCATATACTGTGCTTTGTACAAAAGCTCTAAATCTTCAACTGAATTGTATTTTGCTTTGGGTATCAAAAGGTGGATATGTTTTTCGTTTTTTTTTTTGACATCACTAAAAAATGTACTTTTCAAAATAATTCGTATACCTCTAATCGTTTTATTTGTTTGAACAGCCGGGACCTGTTTCATATGAATTCTGTGCGGTGGTTGAAAAAACAAAACGTTGTTTTTTCTGAGTTTGACTGCAAGTACTTGACTGAATCATATACTTGAACGTATTAACTGGGCTTGTCTATTCTCCCCCCTCACGAATCGAAAATCACTCTAATCGTTCTTTACATGTTTTTCGTTCTGCCGTTTTTTCCCCTTCCTTTTTTCGGATTTCAAAATATTTATTTCGATAACGAAACAAATAGGAAACGAGCGCGAACTATCCCTTCATGACCAATCTGTCAATTTTCTTATTAGCTAATGACCACCGGGTAGCTCCATCGCTAAGATTCTCAAATGTTTGGAAAGAATGTTTATTTTTCTCCGAACTGTATCGATACAGCTCACAGTGTGGAGCTCTCACACTGATATTAGGTGCAATAAGTAGTGAACCTTTTTATTTTTCGAAACTTCAATTTGTCAATGTTTTTACTGACGTTTTTCCCGGACCGAAAAATCACCGTCCGAAATGATACCAACAGTGAAGCCCTAAAAAATCCATATTGTTTTTGCTCGAAAACCGTTAGAGGGCGGTTTGTTTTTGTAGTTTACTGTTGGAACTAAATTTCTCGGGTTTTTTAAAATTTCCCTTCATTTCGTTCAAGTTAGGCTTTCCCCGTAACCTGTTTTTCTTTCTCAACTTATTTCAAATTAAAAGAAATAGGTTCTGAATACCTTCTAAAAAGTTCTATCTTGTCAAAAAAATGTTTTAATAGTTTTTTCTCACTTACAGAATGTATAACAGAGAGAAGCTTTAAATGACGTTTTCCAAATCTTGAAATCAAAATATTATGAGAAAGTTAATCTATCATTCGCTGAGAAAAATTATTGTCATAAGATATATGTACCAACAAAGGTCTGTTTCTACTTTGAATCCCCAGCTCAATATGACTTAGGAATGAAGCAAAAAAATTCCCTGTGGCCATTCAAAACGCTTTTAGTATCCGAATTTTTGAAATCCCGAGGTCAACTAGATCCGTTATATTTGCCAATAAACATGAAACAAAGAAACACAGCAAAACACGGGTTGAAAAGGGGAATGCGGGCGACCGCGCACTCTTCTAATTCAGACTGGTCTTTACAAGAGGTTGTGAGCTAATTTCTCAAAAGTCAATTATGAACGAAAGCAGTCGAGTGCTTGCGACGAACATTGTTGAAACACAAGCTACTATATTATTTTATTGTTCGAATATACAGCTCTTCGTTCATTATATTGTATTCATGAAAAACCTTTCAATATTTTTGGAAAATTGTTTTAGTTTTTTCAGAGTTGAGCGAAATGACGCGTTGGGAAATTTTTCCAATCAGCGAACAAGAGCAAGCGTATCTAGCGTCTACAACAACCACAACTACGTGAGTTTTATCGTTCGTTGAGAATATAAAAAAAACGAATTGTGACCAAACTCCCATTACTTTCTCAGCGTTAATGTTGCCTCAGCTGCTCAAAATTTGATCCGACACAGTCTAGGAGGATTTATTCGTCAAGAAGTTTCCGAAACAGGTCAAACAATTTGCTTCTACCGATATAACAGCGTCGACACAGCTATTCCATACCTTTGCGAGCTCGGGTGTTGCGGGCATGGTTGTTGCACTATTTCCGATTTAGCTGCGTAAGTTTTTATTCCTGAATAGAAGGGACATATTATATAGCTTGATATAAAATTGTGAAAAAATGGCAGTTTCGGAACACAAGAAATTTTGAATCCCGAGCAATGACAATTGTAATATCTCAATCAGGACGATGATCATCTTATTTTGAAAAAAAAACTAAATTAACATTTTCTACAATATACTCACTTCAACAGCACAAAAAATTTTTAAAACTGATTCCTCAAAAAATTTTCAGACGGAGCACTTCGTTTGGCTGGGCGATAGCACTTCTGGTTATGGTTCTCATAACAATTGTATTTGCCGTTTTAGCATTGGTAACCGTCTGGCTTATGAACAGGCACAAAGACAAGATTCATAAGCAGCATCTCGCAGAGAGCACCATCGAAAGCCCATCAGTCAGTCAGGTAAACAAATTTCGTGAATTTCAAAGTTTATATCACAGAATTTCAGATAAGCGGACCAACCTCATTCTATCCGGATGTTCAATTCAATCATTTAAGTGGCTTCAAGTCATACTAATTTTATATTGCTAATTTAACGACTACTTTTGAGAATCCTGTACCACTCCTTCAAAAGAGTTTTCGTTTCATGAGTTTGTCTCTTGCCACCCTTTATTGTCAATTATCTTAATTGGTCACTATACATCGGCATTCATAATCATATTTTTTTAAAGTTCTTAGAATTTGGGATAAAGTTCGAAAATGCTAAATATGATTTCGTCCGTTAACATGCTCATTGAAACCAGTAATACTAGGCTAACACATTTCTTGGAGATGTCCGAGGTTGAAGTTACTGCAGTTATTCTCATAATCTCAAAATTGCTGATCTTCGACTTGGTCACGATCCTATTACTAACTTTTCAATCCGGAAAAAACCATCTTCTGGAGATATTTTGTTCTGAAACATCCTATCTAACCAAACCGTGGTTTTAGCAAAAACGAGAACGAACACAGAAAACTGATTTATTGAATATCAACACTCAGTAACAATGTCAGATATCATCCTTTGATTTTGTGGAACGAAATGGATTTGAAAGAAAAGACACATGCAAAATCTATGAAACGATCATTCCACAATTACAAGAGCACATGTGATAGGAATTTCTGAGAAGTATATGAAGGTGTGAATAATTTTTCAAAAAAATTGAACGTTGAACAAAATGGTTGAAAAATGTTTAGCAGGCATGAAGACTAAGAGAAACTAGACACAAAAATTCTCAAAGGTATTTAAATGTTTTTAGAAAACTACTACTGAAGTTATATAGGGAAAAATCTGAGACGAATTGTTACTTTAAGATATAAACGAGCCACCCGATAAGTCTACTTTTCCGTTTGTTTCGTTTTCTTTTTTGCAGCTTTCTTCTCTGCTTTCAGTGCTTCTTTCTCCTTTTGTTCTTGCTTTCGTACCAGAGCTTTTTGTTCTCGTACCATCTCCTGTAAAATGATCAGCTGAAAAGAAAACACACAGGTTCAGCATTTTTCAACGTTTTGGTATATATTCTGGTCTTTGCAACCAAGAAAAAACCTTCTTGAAAGAATGCTTGACTATTAAAATGCTTGACTAGTTTTAAATCCCCTAAAAATTATTTTTTGCCTATTGACCCACTCCGTATAAAGATACCGTAAAACCTGTATTAGAAAGGCCGGCTTTTCTATTGTTTCAAAGTACCTCCGAAGGGCTCTTCTATTACAGGGGCTATTCAATTAGAGGGGGCCCTTCTATTTTTCCGGCCAGTTTTTTTTTTCAAAATTTTGCATCAAAAAATTCGACGAAGTTTCGTTCAAAATTCATGAAAATCTGTCAAGTTCACCAAAATTTAGCAAGATTTTCATCGAAAAGAGAATAGAGTTTTAACAATTTTTACTAAATTGTGGAGTTCCTGTAATATTTTCCACTGAAAAGTACGAAAGTTTTCTGATTTCAAAACATATTTTGAATCGGGTCCTTTTTCACAGAGGGCCCTTCTGTTACGGGGGCCATTCTATTTTTCTAGGCCCATCTCCGAGGGCCCTTCGTCCTTCTATTTAAGGGAATTATTAGACGGGTCCTTCTATTGAAAGGGCCCTTCTAATACAGGTTTTACAGTATGGTGTTTTTAAAATGCTTCAGTTTTTAAAATTATTCCTATAAAATAACAGTTCACAAACCTTTCTAGTTTTCTTCTTTCCGTAGATGTCACCAAAAGTTCCGTCTCGCATGGCTACAGTGAAAATATCTTCAATGACTGTGGCATACTGCTTACGAACAGCTTCAATTGCCTTGCACCATTCGGCCGCAGTTTTCTCTGGGTCAAACAAGTAATAGACGCGATTCGGCTGTAAAAAAATGTTTGATAACATGCCTTCTGAAAATCTGTGAATACCGTATGAATGAAAAAAGTTCCCGGGTTCTTGTACTCGACCTGCATGCATGGTGTCCATGGGATTTCTCCTTTAATAGTTTTGATTCCCTCATCAATGTAGAGAAGATGAGGTCCTTCAGTCAGTAGAAACATGCGTCGCCTAGCGAATAATCCACGCTTTTTGTTCAAATATCCGTATTTCAAAATCAGATTCTGAGGAGTGTAAACACGCCACTCGTTTTCATTATGAAGCTTCCTTTTCTCTGCTAATTCGGCTCGTGCGTCGGCTTTCAAATTCTGTTTTCTGAAAAGAAACTGATTGATAAAAGTTGTGAAAAAAATTTTTCACCCAGATGTTTCTGGGACTAATGGATTTTTCGCTTCGGCGTTAGATGGTCTGAAATTTAAATTTTTTTCTGAAAAAGAATGTGGAACTAACGTTGAAGGTTGCGAAGTACTCTGATTTTCGAAATTCAAATTACGCGGCGCGACACGATCATCAAAAACTGGTTCGATTCCATCGACAGTGGAGTAATATTCTTGATCTCCAAACGTGGCAGGACAGTAAGCATGAAGTACAGGTGGCGTTGCCGTGAGAAGGTTTTCCCAATCGACATCATGGAAGAATTGATGATCCATCAGTTTTTCACGAGTGATGCGATTATTAGGGTCAACTAACTGAAATTTAAAAATGCGATCGATTTGCACATGAAGCCTATTCGCACCAAAATGCTAGCAACCAGCTTTTGCAAATCTTTTGGAAAACCTTCAGGGAACATCAATTCGGCATTTTTGATTTTTTTCATGAGGTGGTATTGGTTTACTGCACGGAACGGTGGCTGTCCTGACAGGCACTGATAGATGATACAACCTAGTCCCCAGATGTCGGTTCTGAAAATTGAATAATGTTAACTAAAATAGCATTTTAAAACATACTGAGGTCCAACATCTCCATCCGACAGCATTTCGGGGCTGACATAAAGAGCAGTTCCAACAAATGTAGTACGTCGTTCAGAACCTTCTTCTGCAAGTGAAAGGATCATAGGTCGAATGATTTTTTGCACAAACCTTGTTCTCTGTAATAATCATCTTTGGCTGTGGAAAATGGGGAGTCCGAAAGTTTTGAACTGGCTTGATCATCATCTGAAAAGCCAGTTTGCGACAAAACAAGTTCTCCGAAGGCTTGAGCGCAGCCAAAATCGCCTAAGGAGATGTGTCCGTTCTGCTGAATGAGGACATTTTCAGGCTTTAAGTCACGATGTATGATGTTGTGGTCGTGCAAAAATTGGAGTCCAACTAAAATTTCCGAAGCAAAAAATTTAGTAGTTGCAGAATCGAATGAGCCGAAGTGACTCAGTGACTCGCTCAAGTCTCCAGCTTCCACAAGGTTCATCACAAAGTCTGAATTTGCACAAATATTACGTGATAACGACTAGCAAAACTTACAAATGCGCGCCGAGTCGTGAAAGAACGTGTAGAGTTGAGTAATGAACGGATGACCTCCGCATGTTTGTGTCAAATAAAGAAGAATGTTTTTTTCACGAATGATAGCGTCCATTTTGTCGTGTCGCAAGAGATGATCTTTTTGAAGAACTTTGATGGCAAAAGCAGCATCAGTCTCATTTTCTTTGCATCGGAATACCTAAAAATCATTAGTATCGTTTTCCGTCAAATGGCTTTGGTCAGGCAAATTGTATTTTTTTAAAGCAGTGATTTATTTTCAAATATTTTTTGGAAGTTTTGAGTTGGCCCACATTTCTTCAGTAAAATTTGACAAAATATCAAATCATTTCTTACAAAGCAAATTAGTAGCCTATTAGTGCAACCCCGGGTTTTTTCGTAGCAAAACCGCCCTGAGGCACAGAAAGCCTCAATCAGCAGAATTTTCATTACAATAAAAAGTCGACTATTTTTGACCGAATTCAAATTTTATACTCAAAATACTCCCGGAAATACCGTATGCCAACTCTTCTGTCAAGTCCCGAAAAACTTACTTGACTGTAAGCACCCTCGCCAAGACTAGTTAAAAATGTGAAATCACTCGGCGATCTTTTCGGACATCCCGCTTGGATGGTTTGTGTTATCAGTTCTTGTGCTTTCATCAAATTGTGTTTTGATACTGTAGTTGTTGATTGAAGACTGAGTTTCTGAAAAATATGAAGATGAAAATGTGGAATCGATAAGAATTTCTTGTTTACGGCATTTCTGGACGCTTCGTTCTGTGTATCAAATGTTGCCGAAAAAAGTACGATCAAGAACTTTAAAAAAGGTAGCGAACTATTGAATTCGGATAGGAAGAATCATTTCTGGACTTTATTTGTGATTTTTTATATTTCTAATTAATTTTCTTATGTTTAAAAAAAACATGCCAGTTTTTAATCACTAGAGAATGAGAAGAAAGTGAACGCAATCAACAGAAATAGAAACAAATAGCAAAGTTTAAGACAATTTTTCGCGGCTTATATATACATAGCAAAATCGGCTGCCTTTTCGAATGTGATTCTGATTCGATTAATTCTCTTAGTACATCTACACTTTTTGGGAATATCGCCAGACGCGCACTCATTCTTTGTTTGAAACTAGTTTTTCCTCACCATCGTTGTCTCACAAAGCTGATCTGTCTGTGATCCATCGTGGCTGCTTCGTGTGCTACCAGAGATAGATGGTGGTGGTTTATCTTTCATCATGAGAGGCGCTGAAAAGTTTTGAATTTTGCAGGAACATCGGGATAATGACGTTTAGGTGTTCGAAATAAGACGGAGATGCTAATGTGACTTTCAGAATCGATTTCTTTAACAGGAACCTACAAAAAATAAAATTTAGAAAATAACGTGTAACAGCTTGACGAACACAAAAATAACAAGAACAGGATTACTACAAAGAGACAGAAATATAGAAGTGCGATCAATAAGAAAATAGAGGTAGCAAAGAGAGACAAAGACACAAGGGGCTAACCCAAACGGAAAAGAAGAGTTAACAACAAGTCACAACCAGAACACCGTTCTCGTCTCTGATTAGTACGGAGACGAGGATGAAGAGAGTGCCCTTCCACTCTTCTACTCGCCTTCTCTTCTTCTCATTTTCCCTTCTCCCGTTTATCTTGTGTGATGCAGTTGGAAGAGTAAGAGCGAGAGAACGCAAGACGCTGCATGGGAAATAGACACGCAGATGACTAGAGAGTACTGTTGTGTTCAGTGGTGCCCCTATGGACAAACAAACAGCAGGGCCACAGGGCAAGAGAGAAGATGAGGGCCGATACTGCGAAAAGAGTGTGCACGTATACAATAGGAGGCCTCTCCTGTTTTTTTTTCGTTTTACACCCCGGTCAATGTGCTGAATGATGTTTGATTTGATTGAGGAGGATAAAAGTCCGTCATGCGGTAACTTTGGTCTGTGTTTTGTGAGAGCATTGAGAACTATGAAACAAAGCACATACAATAACGTTTAGGAGAATCTGTTGTGATTTTCAGACAATTACTATTTGAAATGAAGCATTGACAAATTATAGTTGGTGGGTGAAATGTAAGTGCGCAAAACAGAAGAAAGCTCAGACATGAATGAAACACGTTGAAGGCAAAATATGTTTGTCAGTTTTTCGACGTGAATGCCGCCTGACGTAAACGAAAAAATGTGTTTCACGAGGCAGGTATTTTTTTTTTTGATAACTATGCCCCAACAAAAATGTCAGTGATGGATTTTCAGGCTGCAAAAAACCGATAGAAAACTATGGGAAGTCAATTTGTCTTCTCGATCACCTTACATACTTTATATGAAATTGAAAAATCCAAATTTGTAGCAAAACGTTTTCAAATAGAGACCAATATTTGAAATAAAATTTTTAATTTCAATATTTATAAAATCATTGATTTCATTAATTGTGCCGTCGCCTTTCATGTTAAAATATTTTCCACTACTGTATTTCAACGCTTTATTGTTCTTCAGATAACAGATTCTCTCACTTCACATTAGCACTTTCCGGAATTATATCAAATTGTTTTATTTTGTGAAAATTCTTGCTTTGACTGACCTTTGAATTGTTTTACTCGTGCAGTCAAATTTTCAAACATTGGTCAACTTCTGAAAAATCTTCTAGCTGCTTGTCGCGTTCAAACATTTTGATTAAAAGTAATCAAATTTTTACGTCATAAATTCTCTTGTAAAAGATTTTCAAAGAACATGCGTTAGAATCAGTGAATATTTATTAGCAATCAATTGAATGAAAGCTCCACAAAAAGTGAAAACATTAATTAATTTGGATAACGGAATACACGTTGGACAGAAAGAGTCATTGATCAATTGTTTGAAATTATTAACAAGTGAGAGTACAGTATCTGAAAAATGGTCCTTCACATTGTGCTGGATCCTTAGCAATGCATTCACGAGATTCAAATCCAATCATGCTACCGTTGTTGCATGGTTGGGAAGAGGCGAATTGCTGAAAACATTGGTTTGATAATCGAAAAATCAAGAATAATTTTAACCTGACAAGTTCCTTGCCATGGTCCCCAAAGTTGTTCATTCAACACTGGGAGAGTTCTGGATGGAACTGGATCAACGGAAATGTTATCCACAGCAATCGGCTCATCATACTCATCTCCATCTGCGGAGACAATTGATCGAATCATTTCATTGTTTTGTGGAGCTGAAAGAAAGTTATATTTTTCAATTAAACGACAATTTTGAACTTACTAGTTGTTGGAATGACTTCTGGACAGTTTTGGACTTGCATAAGAGCTCCAAGGCATTTTCTAAGATTCAGGCACCGTCTTCTACGAACTTGTCTTTCGTTGCTCTTGGTGCATGGAGTCCAATCAGACCATTCCGAGAAGTAAGTCTGAAGAATACATAATTTAATAATTTAATGATATGGTTTGGAAGTTTAGTTTCCCAAAATTTAATAAGTCATAACATCACATAAACATCTTCTCACCTCTTCTGGTTCTTGTTGCTCTTCCGATTTCCGCGAGTCATCAGTGAGCTCCAAACTATCTTCATTTTCTGGGAAGTTGATCTTTGGTTTCTTCACGGTGTTCTGCTTCTTCAGAATTTCGTAGGTTTTTGAACCAAAGTTCTTTGGATGTTTCTTGATTTTCTTTTGAATCAAGTTTTTGATACGATTTGGTGTTGGAGCCTCGGTCTCTTCGACAATTGCTTCAGTGGTGGTAGTTGGCACAGTTGTTGAAAAGGTGGTTGGGACTTCCTCCACAGCGGTTTCTTCAGTCACATCATCTCCATCCTCTTCTGAAATATCTTTTAATCTTGGCAAACACTCAGAGCATAACAGAAAAAATTCTAAAGCTGAGTCGTGATCATTATACTAAATTCTGTTTGAGAATAGAAAGAGGAAATGTAATATATTTTGACTACCATATTCTCCATCTTCAGCGGTTTCGGAGTTTTGTTCACTTCCTTTTTCCTCAGTAATGTCTTTCTGTTCTCCATCTTCTTCTGACTTGTTGGATGGGGTTTCTTTTTCGACATTTTCCACCTCATCAACAACTTTATCTAGTTGGCCATCTGGTTTTGGAGTGGTTTCTGAGATTTGGATATTCACAACTGGTTTGATTTCTTCTTCAACTGTTTCGTCAGCTGCAACTTCAGCAGATTCAGAGGTGATGATTGGTTCTAAAATCCGCACTTTTTAACACAAAACAATAGTGGTTTATAAATATTACGCACTTTTTACAGCGTTTAAATCACACCCATTTTGGAAATATATAACTTTGTCGTTTTCCTCCTTCGTAAAGCCAGCTGGTTTTGTCAAAGCTGATTCCTTGTTTGTGATGCATTCTCCATCTTCGTAGAAATACATGGCCGACTGAAAAAAAAAGGAATTTGTCAAAATATTTCTTTGTCAAACTGTCTTACTTTGCAATCAGTTTCTTGAACACACTGAGCAACACAAGATTCGATGCTGTCAGTGAGAGTCATGTTGACTGCGTATCCAACCAATACACTTTGATCTACTCGGATGAATTGAGACAGTCCGCATTGTTCAGGAAGGCTATCTTAAACTTTTATGAAGTGATAACTGCAATGCACAAAGACTTGATCGTCTGATGGAAAGAGTAAATAGAAGTAAAACGTTTTCACAGAGATGGTGTACTTATCTTGCGTATTCTAGGTACTAAGAAAAAGTATTTATGAAAACTATTTGTACATCAAAAAAAAATAATGTTTTTGGTTCACTAAGCGCATTCACAAAACTCACAAGAGATGCAGGTTTTCTCAAAGTATCTTTTTCCAACAGCAGTTTCAATTTGAGCAGATCCAACAGGTAACGACTTCTCAGAATGAATTGTGCATGACAAACTAGCATGGTCATAAGTGAATGAGCTACACTGAATTGGACGGTTGAATGTGTCCTAAAATAAAAACATTATCATGACGAAACAAAGAGAAAAGAGTTTTACTCTGTTTTGTGTGCATGTCTTCAAGCATTCTTCCTCTGATGTTCCTTTGTAAACAATCGGATCCGAAGATTGCAGGCCAGCATTGTCAATCACAAAAAAGTGTGTCTTATTTTCGTCACATACATCTGAATCTTTACTAATGAAATTTAGAATATCTTTGACAAATTGGAAAGCAACAAAACTTGCAACAAACTCTACCTTTTTTTGGTACGCTTTTTGCATTGACAGGATTACTGAGTAAGGCGAGAAGAAGTATACTATAGACAATCATTCTGCACTGTGCCTAAAATTTAAAATAGTCAATTGACAAGCCACTGGAAAAGCGCAAATGAAATAAACGGTTCTTGCCCCCGACGATTTGGAATTTGTGGTTAATAAGATAGCAGCACGTTCTCCTAACTAGGTTTCTCTTTCTCTTTTTTCTCTTCCCACTCTTTTCTTGTTTTACCCTGTTCTCGATAGAAAAGAGGTCACATTCAGATGTATACGTTTTCTCCGGATCGCCTACTCCCGTCGCCCACTCATTCCGCGACGACTATGGTCTCTCAAGTTACCCATAGTCTTTATTTCAATCAAAGAGGGCTTGTGAGGAAAGAAAGAGAGTGGACCAGAAGATGTCCAGTTTCACTTTATCCGATTGCAAGATCTCTTGTACGTTGAATGAAAGGCAGAGGATTTTGTTAAACATACGAGGATATCTGTTCCGGTTTGCAGTCAGGATCAGGTCTATTGAATAAACGATAAGTCGCAGAAAGACGATGTATATGTAAAATACAACAAATCCAAACACATTCTACCGAACATTCCAGAACAGAATTAATAATGTGGGTCAATGAATCGCAATTGTACTTAGAATCGTAACTAGCATTTGTTATTCTACACTTTTAAAACATTTGGAAAAAAAATGAAATTCGCTTCCCTCTGACAAGGGCTTATGAATGACTGAATATTACTAAGCAGTTCAAATTGATCAAGTATTTTTTGTTAAAATGTATGTAACAATCAAATATCTAAAACGTGGCTCTCACTTATGAAAAATGTCTATTGAGGAGCTCATCATCCTTTTTGTTAATTATTTGATTTTTAACGTTAGAGTTCAAAAAATCCTTCAGAAAATGAATAAGTGCGCCCATACATGATTTCTAAAAAATTGAAAAATACACCGTAAACACAGAACATGACTCCCCCCTCCCCCCCAACCGTCAACTTTGAGCCATGTTTTCTTTCTTCCTGTGAAACAAATAAAAAAAAGATCAATCGACAAAAGATTTTTGATGATATCAAACTCTTTTTCGGTTGATCATTTTTTAAAATATTTCCCATAGGTACCGAGATGATATGGTTTGAATCTATTTGAATCACAGTAAAATATAGCACCTTGATACATTCCTAAATTTCAGAACCTCATAATTTGCACAGTCATTTTTTAACCTACATCATCTGAAAATCGACTGAACTATCGACTGAAAAAAAACCTCTCATCTGACTGATTATTTTTTGTGAATGATTTACAATATACCAAAACAAGCATTTTTTTGTAAACCTTAGAGAAACGAATCCTAATGAATGACGTACAATTTATCACTTTTTCCATTGAACTTGTTATGTATCTTAATCACATAAATGTTGTTATTGTCACTGATAAGATTCGCTTTTGCGCATCCTTTTCTCTTTTGTGTCTGGGAAAAAACTGGAAGCAATTTGGGAGTGTCTCGAGAGGGATTTTCGGATGGATAATTCGGACGCAGTCCATTTTTTTTTCAGTTCCTCCTGGCCGAAAAAATTCACCACTGACTCATTATCTGAAGAAGATGAATGATAAAATGAGATTGAAGAAATCATTCAAAAAGTTCATTCTTGTCAAGACAAAAAACAAAAATGAGAAAACACTTCAGACGAGTTACATTGACAATTCAAAATCATAATGTATCAATGAAAATCTTTGACGAAACCTAAAAGATAAAAGTTTATAATTGCAATGAAGATGAGATAATGGTTGTAAAACTGACAAATTTGATTTTTTTGTTGATATTTGCGACACTGGTAAAAACATCTGTGACGTTTTTTTCAGCAAAAGCTACACAGATAAGAATTAACAAAGAAATAGTTGAAGATGAATTTCAAATACAATACATTATTTGAAAGGGGAACAGGACATGAGAATATTGTGAGACAATTGAGTGAAAAAATTTTACACAAATGGTTGCAGTTTTAATTTTAAATATTAATATGACTATACTGAAAGTTAATGAACACCAATATGTTTCAGTTTCAGGTATACTAAATTTTAAACAAATCTAACGCATGTGTTATCAAATCGATATTACTGACGTTGCAAAAAATCACGCTCGATGTAATTCAAGAAAAATGAAAATTACTTCGAGAATCTGTTTTTAAGCTTCATCATCTTCAAAATTTGTATAAATTTTTTGCTGCAGATAATGACAACAATGACAAACACGTTTGCTTCGTTCATAAACGGTCAACACTCTAATAGAACTGCACCCGAATTGCCAAATCAACTAATAAAATGTTGCTGATATCATGATAAACATTTTATCAGTGGACAACTTTTTGATATCTTTCAAAAAAAGTGCTCTAGTGTATAGGTCAAAGTGGACGGTCCCCGTGGCGTTCTATTAAAGTGTTTATGGTATTTTAGTTATTGATTATTTGAAAAAAACAGGACATGAAGAGTGATCTCAAAATCTATTGACACCTTTAAAAGCACAGACAGAGTAGATAACAAGTGATTATTGAAGAAGTTTGATTGTATCCCACCATTTAGTTATCTGAAAAAAAGTGAATTATCCAAAACCACTATAAAAAAATGTGACCATGCATTCCTGAATCCCCTCTAAAAATGCTCTATATGGATCACTTTGAAAAAGGTGATGAATCCAATTTGTGTTGTTTCGAAAACTTACGTCTGGCTCTCTGTTGTAGCAGTTTAGCACGATCTTGTCCTTCATTCATGCTGCCGTTGTCAGGGCACTCTCTCTCTACTATACACAAATACTCCTGCGGCTGCTCGGCTGTGTATGTAGAATAGTTGGAAGTGATTGGGACCACCTGAAAAGGTTAGTTTAGTTCCGAGTATTTGATGTATTCATTCAACGTTTAAATAAGTTAGATATTTTTTAATGTATTCATTCCGTTTGTTATCAAATTTTTGGTTTACCTGCACTATTTTCCAACCATCAGTCATAGCAGAAACCACTGAAGCAAGCTCTTCCTCGTGGCATTGGAGCACGCGATAGACAAATTTGTTTGCCTGAAAAGTTACAAACATAGTCTCATCAAAAAATGTGATTTGATACCGCGTCTTTGAGATTTTCTCGATCTTGAATGCGTTCCATCACTAACTGACTGAGGCTCGGGATGCAGTAAAAATCTGCCTCAGCAAGAATTCCCTCTTCTGAGAGACCAGGATTTAAAATCAATTTTCCATGACGGAGGTAGTTAAGGATTGGAGCAAAAAAATCGGGATCTCTGTCTATCAAGTACGCCCCAGTGTCATCTTTGTCAGTTGGGAGACCCTGCTCATCCTGACACAAACGGTAGAGGAATGAGCATGGCTCTCGTGACAAAGTTGATCTTGTCGTTTGAAAAATCTGAAAAAAGATTGAATATCATGAATTGCCGAAAAGAATAGAAATGAAGAGCGTTTATGTAAAACTAAAAGTTTTCTACATTTCCAACTTACCTTTCCACCAACATTAAGGCGAACCCAATTGTTAGAATTAGATCCGAAATGGAACCCATTTGTCTTCACTGTCCCATTTTGATTAGTAGAATCATCAGTAGCTGAGATAGACATGTTCCTGATAGCTTGCATTGAGTCCATGTACGGTAAGTGCACATCCGACTCGTTGATTGCTGACGTACTTGATGTGGCGCATGATGAACTCATTTCCGACGACTGTTGAGGCGAAACTGAATTCAACTTGATAGTAAGGGGAAAAAGATGATGTAACTGAGATTGTGTGGGTTTTCGGTTGAGAGCGTTTAATTTTCAACATTTCGAAGATATTAGCTTACAAGGGAAGTGTTTTCAGACGGGGGTTGAGAATTTGCTCAAAATTTTAGAACTTATAGTTTGAGACATTCTCTACACGATGACAGAAAAATCTCGTCCCCGGATTCACCAGGAAGCTGAAAATCTTCATCTGAAAATTTTCTCCCGATCTCTGCGCGCACTTTCCCCTCCCTCCTCTACGCCCTCCGCGCCAAAGGAAAATGTCGGTTCTGTGGTGTTGGGGTAAGAGGGTGACTCATTAGGAGTGAATATGCTGGTTCGAACCCCACTGGGGTAAAAATTTTTTGATTTTTTTGAAACGAATTTCTGATTTCCAGTTGAGCCCTCTAGACACTTCATGACATTTTTTTGATGAAGATACATGGTATTCACAAAAAAAGGTTTTTTTGAACACTTGATGATAAATTTCATAATAATCTTTTCGATCGGTCTTCACATTATCCTATAGTTAAAAAAACAAAATTTTTAGCCTCTGGAAATTTCTCAATTTTGTTCTTTTTGAAATCTAGTATTGCTAAGTCGATCACAGACAATTTTTAAACCTATTTCCATAGATTTCAGTCAATTTCAAGCAGTATTTGAGAAGTTAGGGGTTGTCAAAGTTCTGGCAACAACAACTATTTCAAGATTTTTTGAGCTCAAAGACGAAATTGGGATTTCAAATTTTGTGAGAACGCTTTTTTCATCAATTCGGAACAACTGGGACAGTTTAGAACATTTCAAAAAAAATTTCAAAAAATCACTTTTAGAGTGTGGGGGACCACATGTTGATTTTTTTCAAAATTTTTCAAAAAAAATTTTTTTTGAAAATGTTCAAGAACTATTTCAGATGATAAAAAATGTTCAAAAATGAGTTTGGCATTCAAGAATATCCCGAAAATCGAGTTTTAAAGCTCGAAAAATGCACGTTTTTGGTGAAAATTTAGCACTAAAATCACTTTGAGAGCCCATATTTCGATTCATATTGGATCCGGGGTTGAGATATTGTTGAAACCGTTTTCAGCATGCTCGAAAGTACCTTAGTACAAATTTTCAGCAAATTCTCAACCCCCGTCTGAAAACACTTCCCTTGTTAGACTGAAAAACAAAAAAACCTACTATTAAGAAAATTTCAATTATGAGAAGCTAAAGAGAAATGGTAGGAATTTATGATACAAATAGTTGTTATGCTTCAAACACTGTAAACAATACTCCCCAGAGAATGGAATTATGCTAAGATCTAAAAAAATTATCTCACTTTTACTTGGCAAAGGCTTTTTAGTTTCCATCAAATACTTGAACGATCTATTGAAATCTGCAACATTAGGAAAATTATGTTATCGCTGCTCCATGTTATCCGTTTTCAGACTCAGATACAAAAAAAAATTTTGCAACAAGATTGAAAAGAGTTGAATGAGCAAACAAACAGAGAAATGGGCCAAAAACAGGAGACGGCTTGGCCGTCCTAAAACCCAACTAACAAAGAAACCAAGAAAAATGGAGAAGAAGGAGAGAGGAGAGCAAGAGATAGAGAGATAGAACCCAAAAACGAATATGTTTTCAGAGAAATGAAGAAGACAGAAGCAGCATTTTGTTCCTAAAATTTTGTCTGCTACCCGCAATCCAATATATGAGCGAGAAGAAATCCATTTCACGAGAAAAGCTTGAAATTGGATTGCATGCAGCACACACGAAAATTTGCAGTATTGCTTAAAAGTGTGATTGATAGTGTGGGTTGAAATGTTGGAAACGACATAAGCCCCAGTTTTGTTAATAAGACTGGGTAAACCTGAGGTAAAAAGTTGGAAAAACGTCTTTAGCCGTAAACAATTGAAGTTAAATTTTTTTGAAAAGCTGATTCGAATATGGTGAAATTGTTTTTTTGTGTTTTAAGGCAAATTCAACGCATGTTCTAAGTCGGAACATCCCTCCCATTGTTCAAATCAAAAAATATTCCAAAAATGATGCTCGTTTATTTAATAGTGATATAATTCAGGTAAGAATATCGTGGACACTGGATTTCTAAGTAATCATCGACGGCATAATCTTCAATTTGAAAACGGTAGATAAGTGGACAAATTTCACGTTTAATGAATTTTCTGCTTTGTTCTTACTAGGTTATAAAGACTATAGCTCAGTCAGCAGTGAGCGATCAGTGCCACTTTACATATTATTTGTTTGCTTGCAAATGTTTAAAATGATTTGACTGTAAAATCTCTATATTAAATTATTGAAAGAATAAAATATAGGGTCTACTATTTGTTGCAAACATAATATCTGAAAAAGCCGTCCACAGTAATTACACATTATTTCAAATATATCAATCAAAAACAGTTGATCCCAGAAGTTGGAAAAATCAAATGAATCGATAAATTCCACCCGAGTAGTACAGACAAACTAGCACGACACCCGTTGGCCATATGGTCAGTTACTGCAAAAAGAAATGAAAAGAAATATAATGTGATAGGTAGAGTGCGTAGAGAAAAAAAGGCGACTAGCGAACTAGTCCACGGCCATAGGGTGCGATTTCGTTTGTGTGCTGCGAATGACAAATAAATAGTGTACGAATCGAAGAGGTTTTAGAGAATCAGCTTATGCGACAGTGGGAAGCACGGAACATGCGAGTGTGTGTATGTGCGTGGGGAGTGTATATGTGCATGTGTGTATGTGTACATCTCCAATGCCGAATGGGATGCTCCTCCTCTTTCGGTTTTTTTGTCTTTTTCTCAGGCACATTTAATCGAGTAGAATAAGCTGTATGTGTTCTGTTTAAACGCTGAAATGAAAATTAGTCGAGTGGGTGGCGAAAGGAGAATAAACAGTCAGAACTTCCCAAAAGAAAATGATTGTTTTTGAAAAGCATCTTAATTTGAAAGATTGACTGTTGTATATCTTTGATGATAAGTTATATTCTCACACCAACCCTGTCACATCTTCAACTGAACATTAAAGAAAGCACAAAATAACAAAGAAATTCTCTTTTTTTTTTCTTATCGAAAATTCTTGGAGAGTTAAGATTGTAGATAAAAAATGAGATTTTTCGAAAAAAAAAAGTTTTGAAAATTAAAGGTTTGCCTCTGCCGATTGAGCTACACATTCGAATAAACAATTTGAATGAATTTATTGAGTATTCAATGATGGAAAAAAAGTGATATTTAATATACCGTAACACTTTAGATTTGCTTCAGAAAATGTATTGCGTTCTGATATTTTTACACTCAAAAAAAGTATGTGAACAACAGTACTAAATGCATGTCTAATACAGTTTTACGGTATATGTTATTGATGAAAAATTGTGAAAAAATCAGAGGAACTACTCGATAGAGGTGTTCTGAGGTTGTTCCCACATCTGCGTAACTGAAATGAGTTGAGTAAAAACGAGTGATAATGGTGTTTTGAATGCGGTCTTGACTTTCTGCTGCCGTTGGCACGTGAGAATCTGCTTGAAAGCTCTTCTGAAATCGCGAGAAAATCGAGAGTAGATCAGTGGATTGAGCATTGAGTTGAGGTGGCCTGCCCAAGTGACGAAAGTGAAGATGGTCTCCTTGTTGTTGAAACACTTAAAAATAATGGGGTATTATTGAAAAGCGAATTTTGCGAAGCCATCGAAAAACTATGATAGTAGCGCTTTTGAATCCCTTGTGAGATTAAATTATTTGCGCGATTAAGGTCTATAATTTTTCACGAATATCGCTACTGGAGTCTTGATACTATTATTCTAGTCCCTCGGCGATTAACGAAAATCAATTTAAAGGCGCATAGTCGGTCTTGAAGAAAAAACAGTTACTGTTTCTACAATGAATTCATGCGCTTTTGATAAATTAAATAGTTTGGAATTAATTAATTTCTAAAAATTGTAGCTGTTTTTGCTTCAAAACTGAAAATGCGCTTTTAAATAAAATTCCGGTCGCAAGGTTCATCGTTGCCGGACAAGAATAATACGTTATTCCGTATTGAATTCAATTCAAATCTGGTTTTGCCTTTTCCTCTCCAATCGCTAGCTACACCTACAGCTAGCTGAAATTCTAAGAAATGTGGTATGAGAAATCGGTCAAAAAATATTGTCTTTTTCCCTGTTTGATTTTGACGATCAACTGGAAATTCATTCACAATAAAATGAAAAATATATTATAGAAAACTATTAGCTTTTTTTAAAATTTGTCTGATGTTTTCCATTAGTCAGAATATATTAACATCGATGATCTAAAAGCCTTCCAGTTGTTATTGTATTAGATTGGAAGGAAAGTAACTGTCCATTTTTAAATTAGTGAATAACACGGAAGCAGAAATTACCCAAAATTGACAGTATGTACCGTCGTGGCCCACGGCATGCTGACAACATTCAGGTAGCTTATGGATACCAAACCTCCAAAACCCAGCTGGCTGCGACTCAAAGTATTTTTTCAGTCAGGATTTTAGCTCATCTACAGTGTTGAACTATTTCCCTCCAGATGACGTTGCATATCTCTTAATAACCAATAATGGAAGGGCGAAATCAGCATTTTAAGGGGGCATGAAGAAGAACCGTCCAGCTAAAGAGGCCCAGGTCTTACTTAATTTTCCGTGGAACATAGGATCTCGCTTTATTTAAGAAAAGTCAATTCAGTCCTGAGCCGCTTTGGATGGACGACCCTTCACATTTCTTAAACTCCAGACTTGAGCATTTTGTGATTGGTCATTCGGAAATATGCAACGTTTCCGGAGGAAAAATAATTTTACACTATCGATGAGATAAAAACGGCACTTTGGGAATACTCTGAGTCACAGCCATTTGGCTTTTGAAGGTATGGTATCCACAGGTTACCTGAATGTTGTCAGCATGTCGTGGACCACGACGGTGCATACTGTCGATCTTGAATAATTCTCGTTTTTGTGTTATTCGCGAATTAAAAAATGGACAGTTACTTTCCTTCCAACCGAATACCTAAAATTACGCGGAAAAAAGTATAAAAATAATTTCTTGAGTTGATATCGGAATAATACTTCTGTGGATTGACATAAAAGTATTCAAATCTGACAAAGATGGTGAGTTAACATGCAAGGCTGGAAATTCCTTCCCCCGCGAAATGGTACTGATGAAACAGGAAAATTCGCATTCCGGAAACATTTGATCATGTGTCCTCAATAGTTTGTAGCTTTTTCGGTTTACTTACGCTTTCACAAAAAGCTGTGAATGGAGAGAAAACGAAAAATGGCGTCCAGCACAAAATGAATGCACCCACGACAATTGAAAGAGTTCGCGCAGCACGTTGTTCGTGCACATAACGCATCATTTGTCGGGATTTTTCTCGCACATTCAGTTTCCGACGAGTTGATAGCGGAGAGGCCATCACGACTTGGGATGCTGATGAGAGAGACATGCGATCCGGCTGAAAGTTTTTAAATTGAGTTATGAATAAGGACTCTTTTCTGAAACTTTAGGTGTCTCATGTTAGAAGGTTTTTACAAAAACATGAGCAATTTGTTGAAAATTGGCGCTAGGGTTCATTGCAAGGATGGATCACTCAAGAAATGTAAACGATTCAGGATGTATTTTACCTGTTCCACTTGAAGTAATGTCGATGAACAATTACTTCCGATTGTAACGTTCCGACTTCGGAAGTTTCGCTGAGAACGGTAGTTGTCAGCGTGATTATTTTCCGTGTTCCGCAGCAACGGTTGTCTAACGGTGTTATTATTACTCTCTCCCCGATCATTCAATGATTTGCAAGACACCTGGAAACGACATTAGTTTGGTCCTTAAAGATATTAATTTTTATTTGGAGAACGTTTTTTACATGGTTGGTCCTTGATAAGTTAAAAATAGACCAATTAAAAAACGCATAACCACATAATTCCTTGAAATACGCATGTGAGCCCCATATTGCAAAAATAAATTCCATATATAATGAGTTTATAGTTAGATCCCTTGAACCACGCCATCATTTTTTTTTCTATTCCTGACTTCCGGGTGAAAAAAGCCTAGGGTTCATCATCTACAATTGTCCCTTTCTTTTCGGGGTCATTACATTCTTCAATTTGGCAATCATCCAAAAGCCGATGCTCACCTGCTTCAATAACAATCTCGTCGACTCGCGAGTGTGAAGTCTACTATTCCTTAAACTCGAACTTGATTGCTTCCCCCTGCCAAAGTGAATTCGCAAAGTGGGTTCGTTTTCACTAGACAATATACTTTCAGTTTCAGTATTTGATTTTTTTCCATTCCTTTTTTTTATCTGAAATTACAAAAACATTTGAGATATGTGCCTCTGACTACTTACGCTAACGGTTTTGATACCCATTCGCATTCCTTTTGAATGTCGTGTTGCAATTATGTAAACTTTTCCGTACGCAAAGAGAATTAAGCACAATGGGATATAAAAAGATACCAATGAAGAGAAGCTGACATACATTTTGCTGTCCGTGAACAGACATTGTGACTAAAACATCAAAACTTGAATTTTCTTTTTCCTGAAAGTTCTCTTACTGGATTCTCATACAAATGAGGAGAACTCGTTCGCCACCATATGATCCCGGGGAAAGATAAAATGGCAGATAACACCCAGACACAGAGGATGGCAATCAAAATCCTCCTCTTTGATACTTTGTCTCTGTAACCAATGGGATCTTGACCAGCCATGTATCTGCAAAATCAAACTGTTTATGATAAGTTTAAAACTGAAGATATATTGATCTTGAACACTATTCTGTCTATCTATTTTTTTTCGTTTCAAACAAACCTGTCCAAACTAATAACACAAAGATTCCAAATAGAAGCAGTGGACGCAAGTATATCCATTGCATGAAAAACGTCACACATTGGAAGACCAAATAACCAGGAATGATTTGCCATTTCGAACAAGGAATTCATCGGCATTACAATAACGCCCACTATGAGGTCTGCAATCGCCAAAGAGATAATAAGATATCTGAAACACGGAAAGTCATTTTTAATATTCAACGCGTCAAACGAGTACCCTGTGGGATTCCTTAAATATTTTTTTGTGCACACCGCTATTACCACTAGACAATTCCCAGCAATTGTTAACAAACATATTGAAAAAAGAGCGATCGCCCAAAGTGGATGCCTCCAAGCAATAGGTGATTTTTCGGGTGGCGACTCGGTAGTTGACATTGTTTCGTTTTGATTAAAATAGAAATCATTCGTGTCGATATTCGACCCGTACGATAGCATTTTTATGAATTCTGAAAAAATATCGTATGATGACAGAAGATTTATTCAGGGCATCGAAAAAAACCAGATTAGCCTATTCAGTATGTGGAATTATAATTGAAATTTAAACATTGAAGATTCGAAACTGATTTTCGGAACATATCAACTCTCGTTTCACTATATGATCCGAGCGATAAATACAATATAGAACAGGACAATATCGTTGTAGTATGAAAATGGGAAATAGCTTTCTTTGGTTTTCGTTGCTCGTTTTTTTCAGTTTCCAAAAAACGATGATGTGCTGTTGTCGTTTCACACATGAAACGACAAAAAACTTGGTGGTTGCCTCATTTTTCGGCATATTTTTAGCAAACAGCCAAATTTGATTTTACCAGCTTATTCAATTTTGAACTTTCGAAGTCGACGGAGTTCAGACAAGAAAAAAGAGAAAAACCGCAGAAGATTAGGAATTGTGGGAAAGGAAAGAAAAATGTAGAAGAAAAAGACATATTTGACTCAATGTGAAAAAAATTCACAAAAGGACAAAACAATTTTGTCCAAACAGAAGAAGTGTTTTCAATCATCAAACATTTTCCAGCGTATTAAACGCTTCGAAAACTAAAATAGGAATATTTCATAAAATTGAGTATCTTCGAAATTCCCAACTGGGATAATCTCTCTTGCGTCTGTCCGTCTGTTTATTTAAAAGAACAATTTAATTTCTTTTTTTTTTGACTCAACTCTGTCCCAAAGATGCGGATTTGTCGGCAGGAAAGACAATATAATCAAAGAAAGAAGTAGGCGAGGTTAACGTAAAAGAAAACGAAGACAGAAGAAAGGGGACATGATTTACCCAGATGGCGGTTTAGAGCACCCAATAGGATAACGAAATGACTGAAGAAAAAGGAAAGAAAAGGAAGTAAGAAAAACTCATGGATACATATAAACAAACACTCAGACGCTTACATACATACAATGGTTCCAAAAAAATAGGTTAGATTGTATGTGTTTTTTCAATCATATTTTCGTGACGAGAAAATGGGCATCAGACTCAGGCACAGATGGTTTATAAATTTGAGTTATATTGCATGAAAGCTTTCTTACGATAATATTCATTTTATCCTGTGTTATGGTATTTAATGAAAAATAGTGGAAAAGCTTCCATCGAATGAACCAAAAGCCACGAATGTGTGAATGCTTTTTATCAGATTGAAAAATCGACACGGATGAGCGTATACTTTGATTGTTTCCGGACATCACACCAATTTATAATTACATATTGAGTTTTATTGTGTTTATAGATTCATTGGATTTTATGATAATTCATAGATACCTGTTAGGATAGTACTACAACTAAAAATATATAAAGATCGATCACTGATATTATAATCAATATTTTCTCTGAAGTTGATGTTTCTTTGATCGCCGTTTCGAAATCTTATCAATTTTCTGCAGTTCCATTACAGAAAAAATTCATAACTGTAAAACGTTTCAAGTTCATCTAATAAGATAATAAAACAATACTGATGAGCAGAAGGCAATTCAGTCACAACTTTTACTTAGAATTAAGAACTGTTCTAATTCAAATAATATAAGAATAAATAGAGAAAAGCTTGACAAAAGATATATACAAGAACGTGTGCTTAAGCTCATTAGGATGCGTCGAGTAAGAAATCGGATCCTTGAGTGGTCGTCATTTCTTTTCTTAGATTTCTCATTACACTTTTTCAACCGACATAAAACAAGAGTATTACAGTGAATAATCACAAAAATAACTTGTCAGAGACTTTTAATTGAATTTTTCAAACGCAATAAAGGAACTTCCATTGACTTTATGTTCAAAAACAGTCAGTTCTCGTTCTCCTCCCGATGAGTGAGTAGGACAAACAGAACGAATTCATAAATAATAGGCGGGAAAAATTCATAAATATCCGACAAAAAATGCTAGTTGTCTGAAAGGTTTCCAAAGACACCGGCTGAACAATTTAGAATAGCAGAAGTTGAATAATACAAAATCAACAAAGATTGTACAATTTTGAAACGCAAATCACCTGAAATAACATACATATTATTCGGGAATATGGAATAGTGAAGTATTCATTTGAGTAACTTTTCAATTATTAAAGCCAAACAGTCTAAAAGATGAAAGATGACGAAAAACCAACAGAAAACAATTAATGTAAAGTAGTGGTCTCTTTCTCCTCCTACTCCCACCATTTTTCCTTTCTTTTAATGCACACCAGCCGACTTGACCCAGTGGTGCGTGAACTTAAAAAAAAACTCCGTTTAATGCGTTATCACGCAGAACAAAGCGGCTATGAAGGCCGTTGGAAAGAAAGGGGCAAAACTTTTTTTTGTGCCAACTTTTTCCTTTAATGTAAAGTATGCATGAAAAATTCAGGGTGCGGGGACATGAAACATGGTGATTGAGGGTCGAGCTTCTAACTCAACAAAAATAGAAGCAGTGAATTAAAAAAATAACTTCCGAAACGTGTTTAAAAGAGTGGGCACAAAGTAAAACGTTCGTTTTTGCTTCACGGAATGAGTTGTTGTGACATGGAGAAAAACATAGAAAAACAAAAAAAAAGACAAGTGATAAAGAGAGTAATGAGCTATTAGAAAAACGACTTATTTTATTTCGTGACCCTTCGTCTTTTTGAACTCTTCAAGTCATCGAATCAGTTAATTTGAGTCATTACTTCTACTACACAACAGAATATACTTTTTTACCCATTCCCTGTAAAACGGTATTTATCGTCATTACCATCAAAGAGTTGCCATCCCTTAACAATTCTCGGGGCAACTGTTTGCATAAATAACACAATACGTTCCCAAAACTATAAAACTCCAAACATTCGCTTGAGAAAAGAAATCCTATAAAGCTCTAACGAGAAATAAGTCATCGAGAGAAATATATAGCAGTGCGTCGGTGTCCCTACCAATATCTATTTATTTTTTCTTCCCTCCACTTTTTGTTCTGAAGCCTGTTATTCATCATCAGTTGAGAATAATACATAAAAATTCAATTGAAGACAAAATGTGATTATTTTTCACACATGTTCGTCTCAAAGTGTTTAAAAAAATCTGAATCGTTCCTGAATTATAAGCAAGACACTTACCGAGAAAGATAAACCACACAGTTATACGTTTATACCTCTAAAAAAATTCTAAATTAGAATAAAGATGTAAAACTATTTGATCTCCTCTTAAAAATTATGCGTGGTTCTCATAGGTTTGTCATTGAAAATTTTTGTTTTAAACTCAGAACCAGCGTAATCAACTTCAAATCCAGCCGATGTCGATAACTATTGTTGTAAAAGCTAGTCCATTCAAGTTACCATAATGTTCATCACAATTTATTCCCAATGTAAAAATTACTTCCAGCCTAATGAGCATCGGGAAAAGTCTGGTAGGTACCAGATGTATTGTTCAAAAGTTGACGACGTAACTTTTTCAGATTCGTTCTGGCTGAATGATTTGATTTTTTGTTCTGCTTTATTTTTCTGGTTGATAGAATAGGTAATTTTTTAGTAAAACTCTGCTCCTGGAGGGCGTGTTAATGGTATTGAAAAAGTGTGAATTCTTGCAATTTTTGAAAACGCTTTGAACAGTTTGGAGTGGAAAAAACGGAAATTATAGCAAAAAAAAGGTAATCAATTACAGACAAGAGAAAATGCTGTGAAAACTGAAAAGAAGTTATTCATTTAAGAGAAAAAAGAATGAAAGCCAATTCTCAGTCGATCGCAAACAAAGCCGTCATATTCAGAGAGATGAAAGACATAACTTTTTCATGCACTCAAATGGATTAAGTTACCCTTCTTTTTCTGTCTTGGTACCACTCAATCGCAAAAAGAAAATTAAAATATAAAGCAACGAAAACGTCTTATGGGAGAGTTAGGTTAATAAATGATTCTAATAGACGTTATCCAACGTTTTATTCGGAATTCCTGTGATGGACTTCCCAAATCAGTTTGTTTCTTTACGACGAAAATATGAAATTAATGGGATCCAGCAAAATCCATTTACTATTGCTGGCTCTTCATTGTTGCTTGTCAGAACTGTGGTTGCGTACACCTACAAATACCAATTGAAAAGACACTCGAAAAAGTAACATTTTCACTGACAGGTTGATCACTGAAAATTTCTTCGTCGTCCTCTGTTGCGAAACGTCTTTCGAAAACTGTTTCCAAAATATCTTGCATGATTATGTCCACATTGACACCAGTTTTTGAGCTGAATTTTCTGGTTAAAAAAAAATATATTGTTGGCCCTATACCTTGTCTCAAAACAAGAAAACCCTTGAGTTTCTGCAAATGTGTCCACATCCCGCCAAGGAACCTTTATTTCTGAAGCATCGGCTTTTCCGCCAACAATCGTGATGGCCGCCGATGGAGGTATCTGGAAAACTGTTCACAATTATGTGTGTTGTCAAGAACCCTCACAATTAAGTAACTCTTTCTACTCTCTTTTTTTCTAAGCGCTGAAATATTTTTGTCATAGATGTTTTTTTTTGAACTGTACGACTCAATCTGTGATCAATTTCTTACTTTTCTTTGAAGATTCGGCAAATTGTGTTTCATCATTTCAAAGGATTGCAAATCGTTTATAGCATAAAAGATAATCAGAGCGTCTACATCTTTCATGTGTTGCTATAAAACAAAACAATGTACTCCTCAAAGTTATAAAATATTACCTGTTTAGCACCGAGAGTTTCACCATTCGTAAATTCTTCCAAATCTGAAAATTTACCTGATATTGTCGCACTGTGTTGAACTTGGTCCAAAATTGACAACATCGTTTCAACTATTTACTCCCGTACTTATAGCAAAAAAAGAATGCCATATTTTTTGATTCATTAAAACGGTTCAATCTCGAATTAAGGTTCGTCTCAAAACATAAAATTACCTTTTTCCAGAAGTTCCACTGTCAGCTTCTGCTCAAAAATCTTCTTGACAATCACTCTATGCAAACTTTCCTCAGCTTTTTTGTCATTAAATTTTCCAGATTCAATTCTCTCAATGAATGCTGACTTTCCAACTTTTTTTGAGCCAGCAATCAGAATTTTGCACCGTCGAGATGGCTCCTAAAAATCACTTTTCAAGAGATTATCATGATAATTTGTTTCAATTTTTTAGTTAGCGACTGTGAATGAAACGTTTTTAGCTTGAGCACACCAGTTTTGGGGTTTCAAACAAACCTTTCACAAGTTTAGTATGAAAATAACAATCGTAATTAAATTTAAAAATAGAAAATATCTTATGTTGCCTGATTATGACAAAGTAGGGCTCATCAGGTTTTTTTCGCTTTTGAATACAACAAATACTTACCGGAATGTAGTTGGATGGCAGCTCGACCAACACATGGGACTCAGTATTTTGACTCATTGATTTTTTCTAGTGAACGAGATAGAATGCCAAACAGACCCAAATAATTCTGTTGATTTGAACCAGTGATAACGTCATGGTTTCTTATCTATCGCGCCACTTATGGAATTGATACGTTCCACATCGGAAGAAGTTTCTTAACTGCTCACGTCTAACATGTGTCAATTGCAAAAGTGCGAAGTACATATCATATGTGAAGAAAAATGGACGGCAAATTTCCAACGTCTAAAAACCCAAGCATTAAGTAGAGACTTCCATGAAATCGAATTTAAGCGTTTTTCAACACGTATTATTTGAGAATATATACTGAAATTAACATTATCAATCAAAATCGCAACAAAACGCATGCACGTTTATGTATTTTTCAGTAATTTTCAGGTTTCACTAAAAACTAAGCCAATTTTTCTAAATATCACAACAGTAATACTAAAATAACAGCTATTAGTTAGTAAGACATAAAATATTAAAAAATATGGAATTGATAAGATACATTGAAGAACAATGCTACACACGTTTAAAGAAATTCAATTTTGAAATACTGTTGTCAGTTCTGTGTTAGTTATGTTTTGTTAAAAGTGGTGGGAGGACATTGTCACCTACGAAAAACATCCTCAGCATCTTCTTCAAACATCTTCTTTAGAGAGTTCCATTTTTGACATATTGGCTTTTTTGGGATACCAGGTTTCGTTTTTGGTATATTGTCCAGGCAAAGCTCAACAACACTTCTCATCATCAGATAGTGAGATCATCGTGTCTATAATAATAACTGCAAATCATTTCCGTTTAATCCTGAGACACTACGATGTCGCTCATCTGTTTCCAGCTTCATTGAAAGAATATTCAACCAATTTACACATTTCTCATTTTCTGGGAAAGCAGCGCACTTCTTGAAATTAGCTTCGTTTACAAATGAACCTCTAATTGGTTGATAATGAGGAGCTTTTTCATTTTTGTAGATGAGGGAAGAGGGCGGAAATGTTTGTCATTTCTCATTGACTTTACTTGTGTAAAATAAAGAGGCAACAATTTTTTCATGTTTCGCACACATTCTATTTCGAAAAATATGGATGAGTGCCATTCGACAAAAATTTTACTGAGATTTTTGCTTCGTTTGACTATTCCGTTCGTAGTTATATGGAAACTGATCCTTAGGTGCAAGTTGACATACTTTCATCAAGAGTTCAGGCGTCCCACTTAAATTTCAGAAAATTATTTCTATTTTGGCCAACAAAATTTCAGGAATGGAGTTTTTTTAATCGACATGAGCGCAGTCTCAAGAATTTCAGATGTCGGTTCATGTATTTCGAAATAAAATGATCAAGTTTTTCGGTGATATTTAAGAAACACTTCAATGGCTTCAACACATTATATATACATTTTCTTAGAATTGTGTTGAAAACCATGAAATCACTAAACTATCTCGTTTTGCTTCTCCTTAGCACACCAAACCTGAGCTTTCTTGTGAATTCGACCAAAAATTTTAATGAGGGTTTCCAGTCATTCATAGCGAGAGCCAGTTGAACTTTTTACATAGATGTTCCTTCACTTATTTCCTTATTCATCGAAGTTTTACTATTTATGTAACCATTGAGTGAAGCTAACAAAAAATAATCTCGGATCCTTTATATCTCCAATACGACTGTACTAAAATAGATTAACCAAATTGAAAATAAAAAATCCACTCAGTTTTTTGTGTAACGCTTATACCCAAAATTCCCAAAATTTAAGAATGTATTACAGTGTTAGTTTAGCTGGGCGTGCTAACTCAAAAATGCTAAAGCCAAATCCAAACTTGTCCCAACGAAAAAAAAAAGCTTTTCCGTCTTTTTTTTCCCACTCTTCTCGCAAAAAAAAGCTAGAAGAGTCAACAACATGGCATTATGAGTAATGCCTATTTTTCTCGTAAATTTAAAAAAAAAGTCGAATTTATCGTCAGAACCACGTCTTTGTTTTTTTTATCGTTTCTATTCAGGTTCTATAAATTACGCGTATATCTTAAAGAATGTCACTTTCTGGAATTAATTTAGTTTCCACAAATGGCTGTATTATTCTCGAACTAGCGAGATTCATTTTTAATGACATAGAGCGCGTGAAAAAACACAAAAATTGTTATGACAAAACACCATTAGGTTCTTTTTAGACATTCACATCAAAAGTATTGGATACAGCCGCTTTTTAAACAGAATTCATTAGCGAACTAAACATTTTTCTATGTTTAGAACAGAAAAAAAAAACTAAAATCCTCTTAACGACGTGTCCGTTTTCTCATCTCTTTTGGTTTTAAGTGTTTTGATGCTAATTCTTGAGCGGATTTTCACTTCAGTATGTGAAATTTCGGTTAATCTGTCTGACCACCCACTGATTGTTTTCTGTTATTTTTGCCATTTCTTGAATTTTCATTTTTTGGAAGTAGAATTGAGAAATCAACATTTTGGGTTGATATTCTTAAAAAACTTATTTTTCAGTTTTTCCATTTGTTCTTCCCAATTTGCTACTCAAAACAAACAGTCTGTAAAAAATCTATGGATTGACTATTACATCGTTTAAAAATTTCGAATGTGTTGTCTAGTTGACAAATGTAAAACACTTTGACGTCTGAGCTGAACCTACTCACTTATTTCTTTCATTTTGTTCTCACTTTGTCAGGAGCTTTTCGTACTTGTTTTTTTCATTCTCTCTAGTTTGTCGGAGTGATCAGCATGTAAGTTTATATGGTGTGTTCCTATTTTTTTTCTTTTTTTTCCATCCCATTTCAGAGGAGGGATATCTATGAGAAAAAACGCAAGTTTTCATGTATCTGCACATATTGCTTCTTTACATTGAGAATGTATCATCGTCGCTGCGCACAATCAAATTATCCCTTCCTTCAAACTTCTCAGAGAGTACATTATAGGGAAGTCCGGAAAAAAGAAGAAGAAAAAGAAACACGTCTTGAAGCTCAAATATGTTTCACCAAACTCAGGAGAAATAATTATATTTTCTTCGTTTTTTGATGCTATTGTTACTGGCAAAATTTTTGAAGCTTCAGGACAATCCTTTTTTTAGTGATGAACAATATCTATTAAAGCTCATACTTAGAAGATTGGATTATTTTAATACTGAGATATTCTCATTGTGAGAAAACGTTTATGCTTACATTAGACTCAAAAATCAGAAGCAATAGTAATGGATCATTTTATACGGTTTAATATGAATTCATTCGTAGAGTTCTCCCAATAATTCAGCTAACATAAATTACTGGAGGTCTAATTTGCATCTTGCGGTTATAGGAAAAAACAGTTTTTTTGATAACACACCTAACCGAGGAGATCCGATTTCCTGTTTTTACTAGCCGCATAAGTGTTTTTCTTCTTTTTTACATTACTCGTTCGTTTTTTTGCTGCATTTACGTACATCTCATGACACTACTTCCGAAGTTGTTTTCCATGTTACTTTTTGCATTCAAAGTTCGATAATTTCTCACTGGAACGGCATCAAAAAAAATTTAAAACAGATTAACACCTGAAAAATAACCAGCTTAATTTCGATTAACTGTGCATGCTCCTAGATTTTCAATGTGAATATAATTCGCAAAAATATTTTAATACCGATTTCAAATTATAATTTTCCTCGTTCTTTTGAAATAACTATTTTCCATATGTCTTTTTATTTCCATTTTGCTGTAAGCGGGAAAAAAAAAATCAAGGATATTTTGTAGGTTTTCCCATGAAGTCAGCAATGTGAGTGTTGAAAAATACCCTGTATTTGGAAAGTCATATAAAAGCTTATCAGAAAAAAATGTTTCTGATAAATCACTATTAAGTTAGCTTTTTGAAATTTTAATTTCAATTTCGGTTTAATACAAATTTTGGCTCAGTACCAAAAATAGCAACAAGTCATTGAAAAAACATACGAAAAAAAACTAGAACCACGAAATATGCAAGAAATCTAAAAAAAGAATGACTTCTCAAGCAGCTGCTGTTTTTTGTCTCATTCCAATAACCAACTATTTTTATTTCTGGTTTTGTGTTTTTTTTTCTTTTTGTTGAAGTTATTAAGAAACCTTTTCTAAAACATTGAAACTTCTAACGTTATTTTTCAATTTATTTCTAGATTCCGATGATTGTGATTTCAAAATTTATCAACTTTTTCCAAGGAGATTACCAGGGAACGCACTAATAACTAAAGATATTCCAGTTTAATGTTTGCTGCAGTGCAAAATTTTTGATTGATCGTTTATAGATTCTCAGGTCGGCCAACTGTGCAAAAATTATTGAAAAAAACTCACAGTTCCATTTTTTAACTTCAGAAAACTAAATACGATCATGCACTTTTTCCCACGGAAATGATTGTGTGGAACTTCTTATTAGTTTCCAGACAAAATTCAATTGAATTATGTATTATTATATTCTTACTAATTATGTGAAAATCATAACAATAAAAACTACGAACGAGTTCAGAGGTTCAGAAGTTGTTTCTCCTGAATCTCGCCCAACCATTCAAACTTGGTGATTCTTGTCAAAAATTATTCTTCAGTAAAACAACGATATTGCTCCCAAAAATTCCTAATTCTGAAAATTCTAAGCTATTGTGTTCTCTCTATATTTGTCCTGTTCACTTTGTTATCTATGAATGCACCCAGATCTACATGCCCTACTCCTACGTGTTTTTCATTCTTTTTCTCGTTGATTCGTCGCTGGTTTTTCAATTATTCCACCACAGACTCTACTTCTTCTTCGTTTTTGTTCTTTTTCTGCCCCGCCTGCCCACCATCACATCTTTGACCAAAAAAAAAGAAAATATGAGATTCCGGTGTCGTTCCTATTTTTTCTACACGCTTGAGAAAACAAAAAAGGTCCGCGTTCGTTCAGGTTATTATTCAGTTTGAGCATTTATTAGAACATACTTGCTAGTCACGAAATGTGTTTCTATTGCCAAGATGATAAAATAAAAGTATAGTGGACGTTTATTGGTCAATGTTACTGTTTTTGACAGAATGCCTTTGTAGCATGCCTATTTCAGTCTTTTACTTGCAATTTATGAATCATTAAGTTGTTTGACAATTATGCTTATAAACCATATTTACATGAATCTTTTCGCAAAAAAAATACATTTTTCTGTTTCAATTTGCGATTTCAAATATATATAATTTTATATTTTGTAATCTTCTAAGTTCCGAACCAGAAGGTGTGAACCGGATACCTAGTTACGGTAGACTCTCTCAAATAAAACACATTCTGGGTTTATCAAATATTAACATGTGTAATTTTGTTTTTGTTTCATTTTACTTGAATTATCTGGCGCTAATGTTCTATTCTTTTTCAGTGTTGATACCGAACCCCATGTTTATGGATATCCCAAGAAAAATGGGCATCTTAGGGAGAAAAGGGATGAGATAAAATAAGTGGCAGTTGGAAAAGAGAGGAATTCCGTCAAAACAAAGTCATAGAAATTTTCATTTCTTGTTTGCTAGTTTTGGCTCAATCGTATTTCGTTCTCCGTCTCTCATCCACTACCAATTTTTTCACTTTCATCTTTATCTCCTCCATACTCACCCTGAATTTCAAGTAATAAAACTTTGAGACCTCTTCACATTTCAAAACTTTGATATCCAAACCCTAGATGCACAAACCCTAGAGTGACATGACGGATGCCGAAAGAATTAAAAGAAAAATGAGGAAAGAGATAGTTTTCACATTTCATCTGAAATTTCAATAATTACCCCTGTTTTATGTGTATACTGCTGACTTTTTTCCCGTTGTTCATTATCTATTTTATTGCATGAAAGAAGTTCTAGGTTCTCTGAATCGAGAATTGTTTTTTCCCATATGAAGAACTTTTCCCATATCTTTCGTCTGTTTTCCGAAGATTGAAACCTTTTTGATGGCTTAACTCAGCAAGAATGCAAAACAACATTCAGAAATTTCAGACAAATGGGATCGGCAGTAAACGAGTCATGTGACAACTATGTCGAAATTTTCAAGAAAATCAACTACTATTTCCGTGATGATCAAGTTATCAACGGTACAGAATATTCTCAGAAAGAAGTAAGCTTAATCGTTTTCTTGAAACAACATTCAGTTCTCAAATCAATTGAACATTTACAGTTTGGGTATTTCATCACCTTTGCTTATATGCTGATAATCCTGTTTGGAGCAATGGGTAACTTCTTGACTATCATTGTTGTCATACTAAATCCGTCGATGCGAACAACTCGAAACTTTTTTATTCTGAACTTAGCTCTGTCTGATTTTTTTGTAAGTTAGAGTCTGACTTTGTGCAATAATACCTGAAACTTGTCACAGGTTTGCATTGTCACCGCTCCTACCACGTTGTATACAGTTCTTTATATGTTTTGGCCATTTAGTAGGACGTTATGTAAAATCGCTGGTTCGCTACAAGGGTTCAACATTTTCCTTTCAACATTCTCCATTGCTTCAATTGCGGTGGATAGGTTTGTTTTTTATCATTCATCTTATATCATCTATTACCTGTTGTGAATGTTGACCTTGAATATGATTTTTCAGATATGTGCTTATCATTTTTCCTACCAAGCGAGAAAGACAACAAAACCTTTCATTTTGTTTTTTTATAATGATCTGGGTCATCTCTCTCATATTAGCGGTTCCTCTTCTCCAAGCATCCGATCTAACATCTGTTTTTGTGGAACCATCGTGTGATATTGCTTTGTACATTTGCCATGAACAAAATGAAATTTGGGAAAAGGTTTATCAGAAACTGGGACATTCAAAACCTATAAAATGTTTTCCAGATGATCATATCAAAAGCCACATATACTCTCGCCGTTCTTGTTACCCAGTATGCATTCCCGTTGTTTTCATTGGTTTTTGCGTATTCTCGAATCGCATACAGAATGAAGTTGCGATTTGCAAATAGAAACCAGAACTTGACTACTGCCACCAATACAAATCAACGGAGAAGGTACTGAAGAATTTTTAATTTTTTTCAATTTCAAGATGTGGGAGAAATAGATTCTGACTAATGGGATGTGAACAAAAAGGTTTAAACTTAAGCTTGAAAATGTATTAAATGATAGATCTAAAAAATTCTCACGACGTGGTGTTTCACAGTTGAGACTATTAACCACCAAAATTAAGTTTTGCAGATCAGTAGTAGAGCGACAGCGCCGCACTCATCTTCTCCTTGTCTGCGTCGTTGCAGTGTTCGCTGTAGCTTGGCTCCCTTTAAATGTATTCCATATTGTGAGCTCATAAAACATAATCATCACTACTTAGAAAATTTTCAGTTTAACACATTCGAATTTGTAAACAGTTTCTCAGTTACAACATTCAGCATCTGCCATTGCCTGGCAATGTGCTCTGCTTGTTTGAACCCTTTAATTTATGCATTTTTCAACCATAATTTCCGGATTGAGTTCATTCATCTTTTTGATAGAGTTGGTTTGAGGTGAGTTAAATATGACAGCGTGTTTTCAAATTTTCTCTCTGTTTCAGGTCTTTGAGAATTGTGATTTTTGGAGAACAGGAATCGTTAAAAAAGAGGACCGAGTGTAGAAATCGAGCAGGATGCAAAACTGTTACGACTACCGAGCCAACGACATTCCATAGGATGAATGAAAGCATGATTCTGAGTGCGATGGAGCACGATGAACAATTATGATCCAATCAGATCAATAAAATACAAATTTTGCAGTGGAAGTGTTTTTCTCAGTCTGTAAATTCATAAACTTATTTTTTCTCTGTGACTTCAATAATCGAAAATTTGAACAATTTCTCTGAAATCTCTAATAACGTTTTACCTTTGAAAACTGAACTGTCTTGTGGTCCGGGCATTTTGATGGTTGGAGGAGAACACAAGGGAAGAAGTGGTAGAAGAACAAAGTTTATTCTATAGACCAAATAGAAAGTGAACTTGAGAATTTTAATATTTGGAATAATAAAATAGGTCATACATGTCACGGGCCGTGGAAGAATTTTCACGGTCCTTTCAGCTTTAGAAAGGTTTGAAATATTCGGGACCGGGCTGGGCCGGAAAAATTTTTCTCCGGCCCAGCGCGGCTCGGCCGGGCCGGGTAGGGATTGAGCAAGTATGGAATTGGTTCGTGAACCAAGGTAGTTAGCTTCACTAACAATAATTGGAATATTAATTTTGAATTATCATTTGTTTCACGCCTTATTCTTAGAATATGCTTATCTTAGTGAATGCCAAATATCTTGCTTGTTTAACTTTTGAAAATCATCTAACTTATAACATCTTTCATTCGTTTGTATTTGGTTAGTAGATTCATTATTGTACTGCAATCCTCATTTTGTTCATTGTTTCTTCCACTAATATGCTAGTGACTGAGCTTATTTTTGTCCCACTAACTCGATTCAGTGGAAAAATATGTATTCGTGCTCCGAAAGCACAAGAACGAATACATAAACAAAAGCCAACATCTCCTCAAGTAACCTGATGATGGCTTTTAGTGTGCCCACGTATAATGGATCACAAGTGAAATAAGCACTAGAGGAGGGCTCATGACAAAAGCTACACAAGAACCTCCATTACTGAGGCGATCATCTTTCATATGCATAAATGTCAAAAAGATCGCCCATTCACACTACTTAAAAAAGTCTATTGTTCTTTCAAAAATCTGAAATTGTCATTTTCATAAGAATAACGTTAAACTGAAATGTTGCTCCTGTTATTACTGGCCGTTTGTTTTATTCCGTCGATCGAAAAACATATCGCGGGTAAAAGGACAGTAACAGTGAATTAGTTCAGATTATTGGTATTTCAGCGTGTATTCCACGTTGTGAGATGATAACAATGAACTCAAACATGGTTCCAAGTCAATACAATCGTTGTGTTTGTGATCTGGTGGTCGAAGAAAAAGAACTAGGAAACCTTAGCCATGACAAGCTAAATTGTGTACCAAATTTCAGGTATAATTCGTTTTAAAAAATGAGAAATGCCATTTTTTTTTGTTTAAGATCACTGAAATTCCGAAACAAAGAAACCGGAGCAGTGATGATACACAAAGCGGTTGTGGACATATGCTATGGAATGAGTAAGTGTTATCAAAAATTTGCAAAAAAAACCTCTGTTTTCCAGATGGTCGTATAGCAGTTGATCAAACACAGTTCGACGCGGAGGAACAGGAATTTCGGTTCACTAGGTGAGAGTTGAATCTTTTCATTATCAAAACAGTTCTATTTCAGAAACTTCCGTGTTGCCACTGTTTTCCCTGTGACATCTATATCACCGGCGTACAACCAAAAACACTCCTGGATTGACGACTTTCGAAGCAATATAATGCAGTTATACAGAAAACCAGATGGACACTTGCGTTTCGGTTGAAAAATATTAAATGATTTATTGTCCTAACACTGAGAATGGATGAGATGAATAAATTTTGAATGCACATTCAACTGAAATATATTATTCAAAACCCGAGGTAGACACACCAATCAGAGCTAAAATAAGAGAGACGAAAGTGAGGAATAGGGAACGGTTGAGCTGTAGAGGAGGTGGACAATCCAGAATATATTCGATTAAGAAGATGGAAAAAATTCATTACAATGAAGATGCGAAAATACTAAGTAATTTCTTTGAAACAATTTAAGAATAATATGGAGTGTAACGAATATCTTGTGATGATCTGCATAAGATGCATGAGAAAAGAATAGCAAATAATTCAATGGCGAGAAGAATGAATGCAACAACAACAATCGATTCTCCCCAAGACTGTACCATATGAGAGATTCTATCGAAGCAATTGTCAGGATACTGTAATAATAAATGTTTATGGTAAAATGAATTTCAGTATTTTAGGTTTTGTGCATTAATATTATTAATATTGTGGTTACCTCAATTGCATGCTTTTTCTTTTGTATACAGTTTTCACATCGGTAGACCAATAGAACATTAGAAACAATTTTTGACTTTTTACTAAAACTCACCGCGATGGGTTTTGGTCCACAAAGTCCGTCTTTGACGTATAAATATTGAGTTTGAGAAGTAGCTCCACAGCAATGTAACATGTTCTGAATTGGCTTGATGTTTTTACGAAGTTCCGGAGCCGAAGAAGATTTTTCGAGAACCTGGAAGTAAATTTATTAAACAATTTTAACGAGGTATTTTCACAAACTTGTTGAATGGAAGACACAAACTCGTTCCTATTAGTCATAGCAAAAATGGTAGCACCTAGCTCGACGGCTGTTAGAATGACAATAATGAAAATGAACTGAAATTATTTTATCTAATCGGAAACTCGGCGACTGAACTCACCAATCCTAAAAGAACTGGACTCTCGCATCCGGCACCACAGCATCCAAAAAATCCGACAATGAAAAGGAGAGCTCCAACAGCAACGAGGATCCAGAGAGAGGCTTGGTACTGAAATATAAAATAGTTTAGTCAGAAGAAAGATCTTCAAAAATTCTACAAGGTCGACACAGGCCACTTTTTTTTTGCTGGAAACGCTTTCAAAAACTCACCTCCGCAATTTCATTTATCAGTTTCACGTCAATTCCATCAATTTGGCGAACGAAATCACCTAAGTGTGTGCCGAATTCCTTGTCCAGGTTAGCCCACAGTGAGAATCCACAAATCAATGCTCCGAAAATACAAATGAAAAAGTTGATGATAAAGAAGAGAAGTTTGATGCACGAATTACCTAACGCCATTATTACCTAAAAAAGACTTAGAAACATAGTTTGTGATTAGAGTTTTCAATTAAAAACACATTGGTTTTACCAAACGCGTTGAGGAAAATCACAAAAATTGGAATTAGAAAAATAACTTCAAAAACTGATAACACTTACATGCAATCTATCAACATGTTAATATGAATAGGACGCGAAATATCAATGTTTTAGAAAGATAAGAATCTAATAAATGCATGTGTACACCACTAGATGCCAAACACCGATAGAGATGAAAAAGAAAAATCCAAAAAAGTGAGCTGACAAAAAAGGTTGACAAAGTTCAAGGACTTTCTAATAAAAACACAGGTGAGGTCATTGTTTGACCACAGTGTGTAACAAGAGGTCAGCAAACAAAATTGCTAGCGAGGTTTTCACCATAATCTTGCAAGCGCACGACCCACACCATCATCTTGTTTGCTTTTTGCTGCAATTTCTGTGTTTTTAGAAATTGGAATTTGCAAGATGAAAAATTAAATGGAATCATAATCATGAATCAAAGTTCGGTATCGATGTAATGTTGCCAAAATTGAAAATGAATGATCATATACTCTCCGTTGGAGACAATTGGTGTACCTGTGAGCGTCTGTATGTGTCTGTCTATGTGTGTGTGTGAGTGTATTGTCGAATAATAGGTTCAGTAGGTATTCGTCATGGCCATTTTTTGTCTGCCTCTCTTTCGTCCTGTCTCTCTTACTCACGCTATCTATGTTTCTTCATCTTCCCATTGTATCTCACCCTTTTAACGGCCTTTCCTAATTCATCTGGTACATAGATTCCACCAGAGTGAAAGTAATTGCGAGGATGTGTCATTCTCTTCTAGCCAGGTACGCAGTTGTGTGTACACGCGCAAGCGTACCCACAAAGGGGTTTGTTCTCTTCACAGACTCGTCCGAGGTGCTAATGGATAAATAATTGAAAGTGATGAATGGCTTAGTTTAGTCTTGCTTTTTTAATGGATAAAGTATCGTTATTATAGTCAAAAAGTTCTCATATATAATTTCTCTTATCTGAGCATGCAATAAAGAAAACAACACAGCAAATTCTTTTAATGGAAAATATGTTAGAAGAAACACAAAAACCTGAATAAAACATAAAATTTCTAGCAGGAGTCAACATAAACAAAGACAACTTTCGAAAAGTGATGAGCTATTACGTACAAATTGAATGCTTTAGAGCTTCAAAGCAACACGTTAACATTTTTTCCAAAGAAAACATGACGCCACTGGCCGCTTCAAGAAGAAAACACTCTCTGATGCGATAATGTGTTTTCTTGAAACCTTTTCCGAAGTTTTCTATAGAAACAGTATTTTGAAAGTGATGAACTTACATTTAAACTTTATCACAAAAACGAAAATCCAAAAATGCTTGTTTTCAACATTAGTATGAACAAATAAAATCTGTCCGATTACGAGGATAATGAGAAACAAATGAAGGAAAAGATCACGAAAGATGCAATTTCTGCTAATTCCCTATGGACAAAAACAAAGCAAAAAGTGCACTTGTAAAAAGATAGCCAAGTAGTGTGCCATTTCTTATGATGCTCTGAATTCCCAATAGGCAATTTTTAAACTGCAAGGTGGAGGGGAAAAAAGTTTGCGCAGGCTGCAATCATTTTTCAATTCACATAGCTTCAAGGGATACAAAGAAGAAGATAAATGTTTCGAAATACAAGAAAGGAAGATGAAAACGTTTGGAATAATAACTTTGGAAATGTATTAGGTTGGTAAAAAAGTAATGGGCGTGTTTGGTTTAATTTAACTTTATCTAAAACTAAAACAAGAGGATATTGATCGAGGGGCTTTTATTTCTTCACATTGACCACTTGATGCCTCCGTTGAAGAACTGCACTGGCTGGAAGTCGAAGTGGTTCGCACTGAGTGCCTATTACTTATTTAACAACCTAATATTCAGAATAACTAATTTGTTTTATTACCGTATTTTCTGTAACAGAAACTCATCTCTAATAAAAGCCCACCAATGCTGTGCTGTTTTCATTTCGGTTGTTGCGAACCTACCGTAAAACCTGTATTAGAAGGGCCGGCCCTTTTATTTTTCGTGGGTCCTTAGGGGGGGGGGCACTTCAATTAGAGGGGCCCTTCAATTAGAGGGGACACTTGTATTTTTCGTGGGTCCTCTAAAAACGGATCTTCTATTGGAGGGGGCATCATTTTTCAGTGAAAATTTCGTTTTTCTACTAAAAATCCATTACAATTTCTACAGTAAAAAAAGCAAAAACACCAATATTGCTAAAATTTTGAAAACTGGCACCTGAAAATTTCGCGGGCGCCGTTCGTGAGGCCTCGTCCTTGAATCCGCCATTATATCAAATGAAATTAACTTCTTTGGATTTAGTTGGATTCTGATTAAAATTCAGATTTCTTGAAAACATTTTGATTGCTAGAATTTCTAGAATTTTCTAAATCTAAAACTCTGAGCTTGATTGCGAAAATTGCTCAAACGAGAAAACATCTGTACCAGAGCGCAACGGCATTCGAATTTTCAGGTGCAAGTATTTTTTGAAATCAGAGAGTAATTCAATCAAAACAATAGGAAAAACGGCTGAAAATCAAAGGAAGTAGTAGTCAAAGGGGCACTTCAATTAGAGGGGGTACTTCAAATAGAGGGGCACTTCTATTTTTCGTGAGGTCTCTAGGGGGGCACTTCAATTAGAGGGGCCCTTCAATTTCAAAGGCCCTTCTAATACAGGTTTTACGGTATTCTTTTTTTTATTTCCTGGTAACTTCCGTCAATTTTTTTCAACTACCAGTTCGGTTGAAAACCAAAAAACTTCAAACACCTTCTCCGATATTAGTCCACAATCAGAACGAGGTTGAAAAATAGAAGCTATATAGAAGAAAACACAGAAAATAACCATTCTTACAGCAGTTTCAGACCCTCTCACTCGAGAAGCCACGTATCATGTTGTAAAAGAGTTCGACAATGTTTTTGCAATAAAAATACTGACTATGGTCGTTTTAATTTTTTTTTCAGCAAGATTTTTTTCAGCAATTATGGCGTAGTGTCATCACAACTGATTATTCACTGACCGTTTAGACCATGCTTCTTAAATTCAAAATGCAGGTGTACGTGTGCTGCGTGTAAGTCTTGACCCATTCATAAGTATCTGTCATTACTGAAGTCACCCGACAAGCAATGATACTCGATGAACGGGAAATAACTTTTACGCTCTATATTTATCTCCCACTCCCGTGAAGGTTTTTTTCGAGTGCGTCGGAGAAAAATTGAGGGCGCAAGACAAGGAGAAGAAGATATGCACTCGCTGTTCTCATATCTCAAGAGGCCAGTCGACAATTTGTCTCATCAAGCCATGCTCTGCTCTTAGAAATACAGTAGTTTTCAGTTCTGTGAGCCGATTACCGAATATGGCCGACTTCAATATTGATCAATACGAAATAACGGTCACACTCGATGAGGATTGCGATAATGAAAAGGGCACGATCAAGCCCATATATCCTGTGAGTAGTGTTTTAAACCGCGTTGTTTTCTCTCGAAATTGCGCTCAGTAATCTGGTATGGAAAAATTTGATTGAATTTTATTCCAGGACTTGAAAAATTGTGAAAACGAACAAACGACAGAATGCACTGTTACATTGGAGCCAGATGACTGCGATCAAAATGATATGTCATCGGAAATCCCGGGTTCTGGAACCACTGACTCTTCTGTTAATCCAAATTTGCGTGAATGGCTTCTTAGCAACCTCAGCTATCACCGGATTCACAATCCTGCAAAAATTGCACTGGTTAGGATTAACAAGTAAGAGTGAATATATAAATTTACTGCTACATTTTTAGATAGAAGAAATATCAGAAGTTAGATGTGTCACATATGAAGAACTGGTTGATTGCTCAAAAAGAATTGCTAATTTCATGTCACATCATGGGGTGAAATCTGGGGATCGTGTTCTGATGTGTATGGAAAACAATGTAGAATATGTGTTCTATCAGATCGCTACATTTTTGTTGGGAGCCATACCAGTATTGATCAACCCATGCCATCTTGGTGAGTTTTTTTCAGAATTCAAAATTTTATAGGTTGCTCCAAGAAGGTTAAGCGCATTTTTTAGCGGCAGAAAAACTTGCTGACATTGGTTGCACCACGGCGATTGTAGACTTTGAACATTACGGACACGTTCTCAGAACCTCGGAAAGTGTACTTAAGAGCATACAGGTTAGTAACGAGCAAAAAAAACATTCTTTAAATATTTGTTTCAGAGAGTTTTTGTTCTGGCAGAAGACATTGCTACTCTCAGCCTTGCTCGACACGTTTGGATTATTGACGGTTTTGGATTTTTAAGCTTTTCATCAGATTTCGAATATCAAGACAACAATATTGACTGTTCGATGATTCTCCCGGGAAGGTTTACTTCAACTTTTTTATCAGTCACTTAATTGGAAATTTGTAGCTTGGAAACTAATCAATATGTTTATCACACACAGAATAGTGGATTTAGTCAATGCCACGAATACTTCGAAAAACTGTTCAGTATGCTGAAAAAAAATGAAACGGTCGGAAGTAAAAATCACTTGATTACGGATGGTCTACACTGCCACGACTCCCTAGCGTATCTTTTTACCATTCTCACTAAAGGAGAGACTTGTATTATTGCCGAGACTACTCTTGATGTCTGGAGAGCATCATTGCTTGATAGAATTTCTGGAATTATCGAGCAGTACAATGTTTCTCTGTTGTTTTCAAACTCTCAGTTATTGAAGTGTTTCATCAAGTACGAAGTTCACAAAATCTACGATTTATCTTCTTTAGAAGTAAGTTCAATCAAAATATTCAAACTGCTTTAGTTAGTTTTCAGATTATTGCAAATCATGGAGCTGTAGTTTCTGTTTCAACGGGAAAGAAAATCAAAGAAATTTTGAACGTAATTTTATTACAAGGTGATCAGGAATTTCATTAAAAAATGAGAGCACGTGTCTGTTTGCAGCTTACTCCGGAACGGAATTCGGTGTTGCCAGTTTTGGAATATTCAACGAAGAAAATGAAAAAAATCTTCTCAACTGTGGGCACTCGATTAGTGACATGCAAATTAAAGTAGTCAGCAATTTCTTTGATGAAGCTCTCAAACTTTAACATTTTCACTCTTATAGGTAGCACATATGGAAACAGACAAAGAAATGGAGCAAGGAAAATGGGGTCAAGTGATTTTGAGTGGCCAGCAGCTGTTCAAGGAATATGTGGGTAACGACGATTTGAATAAGAACAGAAAATTTGGGAAAGCGTGGTTTAAAACAGGTAAGCTCTAGTTGAAACTCCATGTGAAAATATATATGACATTGCTAATATTTTTCAGGAGATTTTGGGATGATTGACAAAAACAACCAGTTACATATTGAAGGAGCGCTTGAAGATTTGATAACAGCACAAGGGAAAGAAGTAAGCTAACCGTAAAAAAAGGCATTGGCATATGTAGTCCAATTCTAATTTGGCAAGAAAGTTATTCTGAAAAGCGACTAAATCAAAATAAGCTACTGCTAATAGCTGAAATTCCAAACAGAGTTTTTAAAATTGCACGTCCGGCCACTGCCGGACCTGTTCCCCACATCCTGGCTTATAATAATGTCAGCTGAATAAAAACTGAAGAAATGTTAAGATTTGGATTGTCTTCTGTTGAATTTTTTATTCCTGGTAAAAGAAATATGTCTAGTGGGCAACTAATAGCTTGTTCATTGACTGAGAAAAAACTGAGAGAACTGACAGAATTTTTTAGAGACAGATGATTTTTTGAATTTAACCCCGGTCTTACTGACTTATTGTGAAAATTCTGGAAATTGAACATTTTGACTTTAAGAAATGAAAAATTTTTTCCAGATATCTTCGGAAAGGATGGAGACTATTCTTTGTGATCATAAACTCGTTTATGATATTGTTGTCATGCAAAAAGAACAACAAGTGTGGTGTGGTGTGTTGTTAAATGATGAAAACAAAGTTCCAACGACTGAATCTTTGGAGAAGCTTCTGAAAAGTATGTAATACAACCAGACGATTTGAAATAAATCACAGTTCAGAGCATAAAGTCCCATTTGCTATCCACAAAATAATTGTGTTCGACTTCATTCCTCGTTCTGAAAAAGGAAAAATAATAAGAAGTGAGATACCATATCTTATGAAAGAACAAGAAGAGTCATTGACGCTGAATGAAACAACTGAGTCGTATATTTGATGCACATCTTATTAATTTTTTTCTTTCCCCATTTCCTGTACTCAATAAATGATATTTTCTCTATCTTTTATCACGAAACGTCTACAAACGGGAATTGTTCAACTCATTTTGCTATCCGATTCAAATAGAATAATATCACATACGACGACAACGTATGTACATAACATAACGGATATGATGATTAAAAGGCCTCTTCTGCGAAATGCAATCAAGGTCATTATTATCTGGAAAACAGAACATGATAATGTTAACCACATCATTTTGATTTTATGAATTGATGTTTCACGAAAACGATCTGTCACCCACATCAAATTTTATCTTCCCAGTACACTTTTTCCATCACATGAAAACATTTATGACATAGTTTTTGAAATCAAAATAGCTGTAATCTGTTGAATAAACTTAGGATGAAAGTTGTAGTTTTTTTTTGGTAAAATTTAACTCCAGTGTTTATTAGTTTTCGGACACAAGCTGGGTACTTTAATCGTTTGTTAATGCCACCGCAAAAAATCTAATGAAAATTCCAATTGATTGTTTGCGCAGATTTCTTCTTTGCAGTTACAAAAATTGCCTCCGGCGCTCGAATCTCTTGTCTTCCCATTTTCGTTCTCTGGCGGAAGTACTCAAGTGGAATGTGCTGCACTGTGTGTGTTTTTGATGGATAAGATTAGGCGAAGGTTCGTTTTTAGAGATGGAAGGAAAAGTTTTGCCTTCTTCACGAAACGTTGATCATTTTTAACATCCAAACAATTTCAATTTGAAAAGTGTGATGAATATATAAATGTACAAGACATGTAATTTAAAACTCGAAAATAGTGTTCCTTTTATGTTTATTTTTGTTCAACTCACTAAATGTTTTTAATCTACAAAAAAGAAAACTCTGCCTAATTATGACCAGATTCCATGTATTTTTTGATTCACTTTATTTTTAAAATCCGCAGATTTATCATTTCTGAGTATTTAAAGCTTTTATCTTCAGTTTAGATCAATTGAATATCAAAATGTCGTTTCTTTCCAGACTGCCGGATAATATTATGTCGAGCAGAAAACTTCTCCGACGATTTTCATCCAGTATATCAGGTTCGTTTTCCAGTTAAGATTATATTACAGAAAGGTTAGGCTATTTCAGTCATATCAAAACTTTTTAATATTGTTCCAAAACTCTTCTAACGATGACTTCATGTATATTTTACAGATCTTCTCAGCATCCCAAAGCGAGATTTTGGGGATAATGAAGAGTGAGACATTCACAAACTCTTTCTTTTTTTAAATATTTCGCGTATTCAGATCTTCTCCACTGCATAGCGCTGTTAAGATGGGGAACACGATTATGGCAAAAAATTTCATCGACTCCAAATCGATATGGATTGATGAGCCAGACCCTAAAGGTCTGTTTAATTTTCACTTCTGATACTTTCAAATCTTGCATCCTAGGTCAGACAGCTCTACATTTGTCTATAACTTACGGTGATACTGAAATGGCTTCAATGCTTTTGAAAGGTGGGGCAAACGTAGACGCCTTCGATAACGATGGTTCATCCGCCTGTCATATTGCTTGCCGCGATGGGATGATTGACCATGTAAGTCTGTTTATTTACCGAAAAGTTTCATGAATGTATCTATTAAGTTTAATTTACTCGTCTACTATCATGTGGATATTTGCTCGGTGGATAGAGCAGGCAGAACACCGTTTGATTTGGCTTGCGAACATGGCCAAGAAAAAGTAATAGTGAACATCCAGTCCGAGCTGTTTGTAATGAGACATTTCAGATGGTCAAACGGCTTTTTAACTGCGGTTTGAAAAAACAAAGCTTCCAAAGTTTGGATAATGTTCATACAGCCTCAGCATTACATTTGGCAGCGGAGACTGGGCAGGTTCAGGTAAATACCTAAGTACTAAACCATATTCCACACTTCAAGAATAACAATTTTCTCATAGCAAAAAAATGTGTTCTTTATAGATCATTTCACTTTTGCTTTGTAACAATTGGGATGTAAATTTCACTACAAAATGTGGATCAGCACTACACATGGCAGCCGGAGCCGGACAAATTCAGGTGGTCCGCTTCCTATTGAGAGTGAGTATTGAAACCCTAGATACATCGAGAAAAAAAGACAATTATAGGTTGGAATTGACGTCAACATAACAAATGTAGACGGACAGACAGCTTATGCGTGGGCTAAAAAACAAAGCGGTCGAAATCCAATAACATACAAGGAGATCCGGTTTTTACTGAAAAGTGAGTTTGATGAGCGTCAATAAGGCCGCATATCGGCAGGTGCATGGAAAGAAAGCGTATAATTGATCATTCCTCTCGCGATTCGCTATTATATCTGAGTGTGATTGGTACTGACATTTGCAGATCTGAATATACCATGATAGCAAGCATTTCTTTGTTTTTCCTTTTCGTTTTCAACCCGCGCAAAGGATTTTTTTACTTCTTCTCCTAATAGTTGCAAAACAATGGGTGGAAACCAAACAGCGCGATTGAACAATACAAGCACTTTCATATATGACAGAAAGCAATACGAAGGTATTAATCATTCATCATTCATAAAATTTCGGTTTTTACCGCGGAGGTTTTTGTGTGTCGATGTGTTTTATGTGTCACTTTGTATTCTTTTTTCTATTTTTTCAAATCTCTAATTCTGAAGTCGAAATCATTTTACCTATTAATTTGTGCGGAACGCCAATTCTTTAAATGCCTTTTCGACCTAAGAAACACGTTCGGAACGAAAAAAGAAAGAGAACAATGAAGAAACAGAGACGCATTGACGGTTATTATTATTCACAAGAAATGGTGGAAGGTGGTAAAACGTTGTGTGTGCGCGCACATTGCCCTCCCTCCGACAGTGTGTCCTGTACTGAGTATGACTGGCTGCAAGTTCACGGTCACCATCTGCACACACCATTCGTCAGTTATTGATTCAAACGGACGAAACCTCCTCCCGCAACACCCTTTGTTTTCTTCTATCTCTACGATGAAAAAGTGTTGATTTTTTTTGCGAAACTGTTTGCAAACAATCCTCTTATTTTAGTTTTTAATAGATTTTAGTGCTCTTTTTGTGCAATATTCAGACTTTTACAAACAAAACATCTTGAACACGTTAGAAAACTAATCCTTTAAACACATATTGCAATTTGCATTAAGGAAGAAAAAACTGAATTTGTGAATTAAAACAGATTACTAGTTGATACAGAATTTCAAAAATTTATAGGCTGTAAATAATATGGCTTCGGTATTTCTTCCANAAAAAATTGTAAATTGCCACACCGAGATGAAGGATTGTAGGGTTTTCATCTTTTCACCACAACCCTTCATTTTTCCTTCTTTTACTTCTGCGCCATCATTTCATCACTCCTTTTTTTTCTTCATTCTCTGTTATTGCGCCTTTCTCTAGACATTTTTGTCAACCTATACCTGTAGCTTCACGCAATTCTAAATTGATGCGGCAATATGCATAGATAACTATTTTCAAGCCAGTGTTTGCTTTCAGTGTTTGCCCTTCGAGTGGATAAGACCAGTTTTCACCCCAGCCATCTGTCATAGCCGATCAATTGAAAATTTTCCACGAAAACTATCACCTATTTTTTCGTAGTAATTTTTCGCTGCAAATTCAGCAAACTTCGGGTTCAACACAGAATTCAAATAGATATGTGAACAAAATTACTTGTTGTGCACCACTTCTTCAAAATCGTCGTATCACTGCTAAAACGCTTCAAACTCTCGAATTTTTCAGACTTCCAAACATTCACAAATGTTATAACAGTAGAAGATTATTGTGGTTTTGAAGCAAACGAGTTGAGCCTATCAAAAGGAGACCGTGTGTGGGTGAGTAAATGTTTGAAGTATGACTCTAACGAGTAACACTTTAATGACTTCAAAAACGATTGTTTTCAGGTTGTAGAACGTTGCAACTCAGCGGTCTTCAAAGGAGTTGTGTTTGGGAAAAAAGGAAATTCACGGAGCGGATTTTTCCGATCGTCAGCTGTAAAAGAAGAGGAGAATCAAGTGCAGAACAGCGAGTCAACTCCACCAAGTCCAAAAGTTAAAGCAAGAAAAAATTGTATGTTTTTTTCAACTTTTTTGAGGCCTTCAACATCATACTTACACATCCTCAATTGAACTAATTAACATCTAACACAATTTTCCGCAATAACAAAAAACTTAAAATAGCGAAAAGTTTGAACTTCCCGAAATGTAAACCCATTACTTTGGAAAATGTTTTCAGATATCCAAATGACTTCGAGGATTGCGAAAAATCAGAAAAACCCAACATCCACGTTTTGTTCAACCCCAGCATCCAAACCGAATGGACCGCGTAATTGTTCTATTAGCCATTATCATGGTTTGTGTTTCAGCCAAATAATTAAACGTTCATCGTTGAAAACTGTATTCAGACATAAACCGAAACACACCATCCCCAATGGCTTCATTTGGGAGGACAACATCGTGGATCGCAGAAAAAAATTATCAAATGTAAATTCATTGCACACGATATAATCTAATTATGCTAATTTTTAGTCCAACAAATTCGACGGCATGCACCTCTTTCGGCTCATCTTTTAACGGCAGCCGCACTCAGACACCAAGTAAGAAAGTTTTATTATGTAACAGTGAGATTTCTAATTTCGAAATAAAACGTTGACAAAAAAAGCTGGAGAATTTGAAACACAAATCTTTTGATTTTCGAACAATAGAGGTTTTTTAGTAATTTTGAGTAA